AAAATATTTGCTGCCCTTCCTCACTTGAAGATTATATATCTCTACTCCAAAGACTTGAGGCTTGCCATAGACTTGCTTTGGCCAAATGACTGAAAGTGACATGGGCCACTTCTTTTCTTTTTAATGTTTATTTGAGAGACAGAGAGAGAGAGTAAGCGAGAGAGAGAGAAAGAGAGAGAGAGTGAGCAGAGGAGGGGCAGAGAGAGGAAGAGAGAGAATCCAAAGCAGGCTCCATGCTGTAAGCTCAGAGCCCAACGTGGGGCTCGATCTCACAAATTGTGAGATCATGATCTGAGCCGAAATCAAGTCAGACACTTAACTTACTGAGCCACTCAGGTGCCCCTGGGCCACTTCTAAATATAAAATTTGTCGGGAGCCAATGGGTGATTCTCCCTTTCTCTTTTCCCCCTCCTATAAGACCAGCAATATTCCATGTAGGAGAGGCTCCTTCAGCCTGAGGCCCCAGTTAAGATATTGTAGAGTAGGTCCACAAATGGTCTGCAGAGGACATAGTGTGAGTGAGAAATAAACCTTTGCTGTAGTAAGGCATTGAGATTTTGCATTTGTTACTGCAGCATAATTTAAACACACTCTATCCTATAATCTCCATAATTTTTTTTTAGCCAGTAATATTTCGTGACTTTCTTACTGCCAACCAATTCCTGATAGGTCCCCCATGAGATGACTCTCATACATGCCTGAAAGGGCCTAAACTAGAACTAATGAATGTTTCCTTTGGCTGCCTGGCAGGCTCTTGTTATTCCCTGGCAGCCACATCCCTCTTTGTTTCTCCTTCTTTTGCCTTCTCCTGAATCTCCTTTGGAAATAGCCCCTCGCCAAACTCTTAACTATGTGGCTTCTGCAAAACTGACTCGAGGTGAGTCTAGAGATGGAAATGGGTTAGCCTGTGTGAGGGACAGCCTGATTGCCATTGGTGGGATTTATTTAATTTTTAAATTATTTAATTTTGAGAGAGTGTGGGTGCACACCCCTGTGCACATGTGGCAGAGGGGCAGAGAGAATCCCAAGCAGGCTGCTGCTGTCAGTACGGAACCCAACAGAGGGCTCGATCCCACAAACCATGAGATCATGGCCTGAGCAGAAACCAAGAGTCAGACATTTAACTGACTGAGCCCCTGGGCGCCCCTGATGGGATTTAAACAACACAGATATAAACTGATCTTTATGAAGCCATCTGGCTGCTCTGCACAGTCGTCATTATTCTCATTATTATATGTGAAGCATTTAGAACAGTTCCTGGCATATAGTAAGTGCTCTCCAAGTTCTTGTTCTTGTAAGGGCCACAAGAGTGGAAGCAGGGAAGTCAGGAAGCAGCTCTCACAATGTCTCAGTAATAGATATGACAACCTGAATAGCAGAGGTAATGAGAAATGGTCAGACTGGAAATGTAGGTTTGTTTGTTTGTTTTTGTTATTTCCTAATAGTTTAGTTAGGAGTTTCCCATTTGCATTTATAACTGTATTGCCAAGGTGTTAGGGGTTTTATTTTGATTGGGTGGAGATGTGTTTGGGAGGTAAAGTCAAAGGATGGGTTAATGGACCTGACTGGGGGCAGTGGTGCTGAAGAAAGGATCAGGAGTGACTCCCAGGTTGTGTGTTCGGTTCTTCAATGTTTGACCCTTCACTTATCCATGAGTTGTCAGGACAGGAACAGGATCTCTCAGGGTCCTTTGTGTCCAGCAGGGATTTCCTTTCTCCAGGAGACACTCAAGAGTTACTGAATTCATAAACAATGCCAGAACAATATATTTTATAAAGCAAATCTGGACACACTGATTTAGGTTTGAAGACTCCTCTGCCTTATTCCTATTCTGTACCAGGGCCCCTCAACTGACATGGGCTGCTAGGTTTCCTTAGGAAGGCCATCTGAAATGCATTAATCAAATTCATCCAACCAATATTTACTGAGCACCCACTATGCGCCAGGCACTGTTCTAGGGCTGGAGAAATAACAGAGAGCAAGGCAGAGAAAAATCTCTGCCTTCATAGAGTGATAGTCTAGTAGGGAAGACCATAAATGAATACATCAAATATGTGACATGCCAAATAGTGGTAATCATTAAAGGGAAAAATAAAACAGGAGGTGGATAGGGAGAATACGTATGTTATCTGGGAAAGGGTTATCATTTTACATAAAGTGGTGGTCATAAAGGTAAGAACTTTCCATGCAGAAGGAAAAGCACACAATCAGCAAAACTAAAAGGCAACCGACAGAATGGGAGAAGATATTTGCAAACAACATATCAGATACAGGGTTAGTATCCAAAATCTATAAAGAACTTATCAAACTCAACACCCAAAAAATAAATAATCCAGTGAAGAAATGGGCAAAAGACATGAATAGACACTTCTCCAAAGAAGACATCCAGATGGCCAACCGACACATGAAAAAATGCTCAACATCACTCATCATCAGGAAAATACAAATCAAAACCACAATGAGATACCACCTCACACCTGTCAGAATGGCTCACATTAGCAACTCAGGCAACAACAGATGTTGGCGAGGATGTGGAGAAAGAGGATCTCTTTTGCATTGTTGGCGGGAATGCAAACTGGTGCAGCCACTCTGGAAAACAGTATGGAGGTTCCTCAAAAAACTAAAAATAGAACTACCCTATGACCCAGCAATTGCACTACTAGGCATTTATCCATGAGATATAGGTGTGCTGTTTCGAAGGGACACATGCATCCCATGTTTACAGCAGCACTATCAACAATAGCTAAAGTATGGAAAGAGCCCAAATGTCCATCGATGGATAAATGGATAAAGAAAATGTGGTATACACACACACACACACACACACACACACACACACACACACACAATGGAGTATTACTCGGCAATCAAAAAGAAGGAAATCTTGCCATTTGCAACTACGTGGATGGAACTGGAGGGTATTATGCTAAGTGAAATTAGTCAGAGAAAGACAAAAATCATATGACTTCACTCGTATGAGGACTTTAAGAGAAAAAACAGATGAACATAAGGGAAGGGAAACAAAAATAATATAAAAACAGGGAGGGGGACAAAACAGAAGAGACTCATAAATATGGAGAACAAACTGAAGGTTGCTGGAGGGGTTGTGGGGGGGATGGGCTAAATGGGTAAGGGGCACTAAGGAAACTCCTCCTGAAATCATTGTTGCACTATATGCTAACTAATCTGGATGTAAATTTTAAAAAATAAAAAATAAAATTTAAAAAAAAAAGAAGGAAAAGCACAAAGCCCCTGGGGCAACAATGTGCCTGGCATGCTAGAGGAACATCGAGTAGCCAGTGATGCTGGAGAACAGTGGTAAGGGGGAAGAAGGAGGAGGGAGATGAGTCATACAGAGACTGGAGATCGAGCTCCTGTAGCGCTTTGTAGGCCTTTCTGTCTGCTCCAGCCTCACCTTGTCTTTTATGAGTGACGTGGGAGCCAGGGGAGGGATCTGAACAGAGGAGGACTCTGATCTGACTTATGCGTACACAAGTTCCCTGTGACTGTGTGTGGAGATCAGAATGTGGGAGTGGGTTGATCAATGAAGAGGCTACTAAAATGGTGCAGTCAGGAGGTGGTAATGGCCAGAACCAGAATGGAGGCAGAGAAGGGGGTTAGAAGTGGTCAATTCTGGATAGATTTTTAAAGGGAGAGCCCACAGGATCTGCTGACAGACTGGATGAGGAATGTGTCCTGGCTGATTCAGACTAAGGCCCCCAGGGACACACCTGTAGCCAAAGAAAGTCAGGTTTATGTACCACAGCAATGAGGGAAACTGCACACCAGAGGTACTATAAGGAGTCTCACCAAACAAAGGAAAAGACAGGGTTATTATTTGGATTTGGGGGAAGGGGTGAAATGTAAATGAAATTGCTTAGCTAGGCTTAAAGCAAAGCAGAATTGTGTGTGAGGGGATAAATACTAGGTCTGCATTGCAAAGTGAGTCCAGAGTCCTGTCTCCTTGGAAGCAATACAGTTTAGGTCAATGTGGAAAACTGTGTCCAGAAATGCCTTACCTGAAGCTCTGCCCCTGGACTGTAAACTGAGGCTGCTTCTCATTGTAAAAATGACTTAACTCCCCCAGGTGTTCAGTGAGATGTTTCATTTTTACCGATATAATCTCAAACAGCAAAGTTTATCATCGTCCATGTTTTTACAATGTTTTAAAAGTAGACTCCATGCCCAACATAGGGCTTGAGCTCACGACCCTGAGATCAAGTGTCTCTATCTACTGAGCCAGCCAGGCACCCCAATAGTCTAGGATTTTAGAGAACAAAGTTTCCTAGTAAAAAGGTCAAAGAAGGGGAATTTTTTTCACTTTACATCTGCTGCATGTCCCTGTGAAAAATATAGAAATATTTTTTCCTATTAACTCTTCAGCCCGCCTTTCCCATGTCTTTTATTCCAGCCGGGGAATAATAAAGAGGAAGACAGATTTTTTAAAATTATCTTTGTTTTTTTACAGTTCAAGCTAATTTTTACTTTAAGTGTGAGAAAGAAAAGATGTGAGTAGAGAGATGTGAGTAGATGTGAGTAGAAAGAAAAGTGTGAGTAGAGAGATGACTCTAAGGTTTCTGGCCTAAACAACAGGTAAGATGAAGTAAGTTATTAACCGAGACAGGAAAGGTTGTGGAAGGTTCGGGAGGGAGACAAGATCAGGAGCTCAGTTTCCGATGTTTTGCGTTTGAGATACCTCAACTTCGTGGAGATGACAAGCGGGCAGTCCCTTGTCTGGGGCCAAGTAGGCCCCTCCCTACGGTCCCACTTCTTCCGCTCGCCCCTTTCACTACCTGTAGTTAATCGTCTACACCTGCGTTTTAGCACATCTGCGCCTTTGCATGTTCTGTGTTTACTGCTGAAAATACCGTCTCTTCACTTTGCTAACCCTGTTTCTAGATACCTGCGGGCTGGACCAGTGCCGGGCAAAGGGGCAGTTATCCTCGGGCCCCGCCCCCGCAAGCCCCGCCCCGCAAGCCCCGCCCCGCACTTGCGCTCACTTGTAGAAGCTCACAGGGCGGTTGTCAGCGCCCAGTCGGCCCGCAGTGTTGGAGCAGTTCGGAGCACGGCAATACTTGGGCATGGCTGTTCAAGCCCGTTGAGTCCTGCCCAGTCTGCAGCCGCACTTTGCTCCTCGCGAAGCTCCACAGAACCCGGCCCCACCCGCGCGCTCTCTGCCCGCCTCACGTGATGGCCCTTGAAGCCTCATCACATGCGGGGAAGGGGAGAAGGCGGCTGCGCACTACGCGCCCAGTCGCGCTACCACAACTACGCCCTGGTCACGTGGCAAATGGGGAAAAGCGAGTAGGACGGCAGAAAGCCAGTTCTTAGCCACTCTGACCTTATCTTGTGCTGGGAGACAGGTGATGTCACGGCTTTTCTGAGCCTGCGCCAAGTGGTCGGTCTCTTTCGGCCCCACCCTACCCTTATATCCGGGTGACTATCCACTGCGTGGGCGGGGGAAGTGCTGCAAAAAGCGAACTGGGGGCTTTGGAGGCTTTGGCCTTAGCTACGTAAAAGTTAAAACCTAAACGTTTGTTAATGATGAAAACACAGACCGCAATAAAAATGCCATTTTGTTTAATCAGGCAGCAAGTAAACTAGCTATGGATCCACCCTGCCAGACACTTCGCTCCGCCTCTCAGCCCTCATTGGTCAAAACCTCCGCTCGGTAGCCCTGACATTGGCCAGGCCCGGGGCCTACCGCGTCCAATGGGCGGCGGCGCCGGCTTTCCCGCGGGCCGTTTGCTCTTTGAGCGGGTCGTGGAGGCGTCGGCGGCAGTTGGGGAGTGCAACGGTTGTCCTGCTCCGGCGCGACGATGGCGGCCTTGGGGCCCGGAGGCTACGCGCGGAACGATGCAGTCGAGAAGCTGCCATCCGTCACGGTGGGAGTTCCGGCGCGGAGGAACCAGTGCTCTCCGCCTCCCGCTCCCCAACTGTGTCTCCGGCGGCGGACCCGACTCTCGGCGGCGCCGGAGGACACGGTGCACAACCGGGTGAGGAGCTGTTTGCCTTGCCCACTCCAGTTCCAGGCTCCCTCCCAAGCTCCCCTGGACCCGCCCTTAGGTCGTTGGCCCCGCCTATCAACCCTCGCCTCGTCTTCTCTAGCCCGTTTCGTCTCCTACGTCCCGCCCCGTTAGCCAAGGCTCCTCCCACTCTCCCTTCTCTCTCAGGTACCCATCATTTCTAGCCCACCTGTCAACCCCGGCTCCCTTAGCCCTTGGACCATTTTCGGGGTTCTCTCTGGACCCTTACCTCAGTGTATTTTAGTTCTGCTGATCACCTAGTCCCGCCTTCCTACGTAACCCTTCAGTCACCTTTGGATGTCTCTCTGGGCCCTTCCATTTTTGTGACCTCGCCCCACGCTGGATCTTTAGGGTCCCTACCAGTGTTCAGTATCGAACCCTACCTATATAAACTGTCCCTCAGCGCTATTCCGCCTTCCCTCCTCACCTGCCTTCTCTTTACTTCTCCCTTACCAACGTGGGATTCTTATTCCATATTGCCACCCTAAATTATGGAGAACATGTGAATAATTGTAAAATCTCAGCAACGCTTCCTGAGGGAGGGAGTACAGAACAGTTCCCTAAGTCTTTAGACACACGAACAAAGATTTTGGAGTAGATAGAAGGAATTCCATTAGCACAGCAGCAATTAAAAAAAAATTGTTCTCCAACTCTCTGAGCTACGAAGTCTGTTTTTATAAAACAGAAGTATTAATAACCATACCATGGGGTTGCAGGGAGCAGAAATGAAATGGTGACTATGACCTGCTTGGCAGAGTCCAGTTAGAGAGTGGAAACATGGTAGCTGCTGGTGGATCTTCTTCCTGCCACATGGCTTCCTGCTGCGCTCTGATTATATCACCCCTTTCTGGCTGCAGTTCCTGGTGGCCCCTGCCCACCTCTCTGGCTATACCTCCATGGTCCTCTCTCCCAAATGTTCAGTCACACAAGCCTGCTTTCTGTTTTCCTGAGGCTCCAAGCTCTTTACCACCTCCTAAGTGTTTGCTGAGTCCTCTTGGGTTTTTGCTGCAGTCCATCTGACTGGCTCCTCATCCCTCAAGTCTCAGCCTGCATATCCCTACCCTGAGAGGCCTTCCCCCAGCCTAAAACAGACACTTACTTTAATCTCTCACCTAGCACCCTGTACTTCACAGCCCTTACCTTGTAGGTTCCTGAAAGTACCTTGTGAGCACTAAACTGTATAAAATAGAGGAATGACAATAGCAATTTCAGAGAGGCAGTAAGTAATGTGCACTCTTAACGAGTGCAACCTCTGGACCCAGAATGCCTGGGCTTAAACCTTAATTCTGTTGTTGTTGTTCTTTGTCTCCCCCTCCTGTGGCTGCGGGGGCGGGGGCGGGGCGCGCCCCCCCCCCCCCCCCCTTCTCTCTCCATGCCCAGCATGGAGCCCAATGCAGGGCCTGAACTCATGACCCTGAGATCAAAACCTGAGCTGAGATCAAGAGTTGGACTCTTAACTGACTGAGCCACTTAGGCACCCCAGTTCTGTTCTTCTTGTTATGAACTTTTCTGTGCCTCAGTGTCCTTATCTGTAAGATGAAGATAATAATATAAATATTCCCTTGTAAGGTGTTTGTGAGGATTAAGTGAGCTCACATATGTTAAGCATTAGAACAATACCTGGCGCATTGTAAATTCTCTATTAGTGGTAGCTACTACTGTTTTGATTGTGTATTTTTGGGTAATTGATGTCATTTATTTTTCTTGTTTGGTGGCACAGAGTCCATCTGGCTTACAAAAGATCTACTCTAAAAATGACCATTATATTATATTAATGCCCAGAAATGCTGATTGACAGATATAAAAACGATGTGAGTGCCATTGCCTGATTGCTTGGGTTAGAGTCCTGGTATGGCTCCTTCCTGGATGGGTTACCTCTCTGAGCCTCTTTATATCCTCGTCTGTAATATGGAGATGATTTCAATAATGACCATATCACAGGGTTATTGTGAGTATTAGATGAGTCGGTACAGTTACAGGTATTTAAACAGTGCCTAGCTCCTGGTAAATGCTCAGTAAGTGTTAGCTATCATTATGCTATGCCTCTCATTTCTGATACCAAGGACTTGCTTGAGAATGTTTTACTTTAATAATAATTAGAAACTAGTCTATTCCAGGGGTGTCTGGGTGGCTCAGTTGATTGAGCATCTGACTTCGGCTTGGGTCATGATCTCACGGTTCATGGGTTCAAGCCCCACATTGGGTTCTGTGTTGACAGCTCAGAGCCTGGAGCCTGCTTCAGATTCTGTGTCTCCCTCTCTCTGCCCTTTGCCCACTCGTGCCCTGTCTCTCTGTCTCTCAAAAATGAATAAACATTAAGAAAAAAAAGAAACTAGTCTTTCGTTTTGAAAGAAAGTATGAAAGTATCACAATTCTATTAGTCTATACTCTAAATTGTTTTAATCAACCACAATAGAGATTTGCTCATTTAAATTACTTTGCTTAGAGAATTTAAAAATTTTCAATGTGATTGTTCACTTGTTTCTTTACTTGTTGAACCTCTAGACTGTAAATTTGTTGAGGGAATAGATGGTGTCCACTCTTGCTCACGCCTGTGTCTCCCCTGCAGGGCCCAACATATGGACTGGCTTTGGAGCCAGAGACTAGCTGGGTTTGTATCCCAACTTTGTCACTCCACAGGCATGGGATCTTGGGCCTCAATGTCCCCATCTGTAAAATGGGGTGATAATAGTGCCTTCTTTCCTTGGGTTGTGAGGCTTCGAATTTTTCATCCTTATAAAATATTTAGAAACTTATTCAGAGGTCACCTTCTCAATGAGGCCTTCTCTCTTCCCTATACTCCCAATCTCCTTCCCTGCTTTATTTTTCTCTTCTGCTCCTATCAGCACCTGGCATCTGTTTTACATGTTTGTTCTGTTTATTTTTTATGTCCTCCATCCATCATGATTAGGATGTGAGCTCCAGGAGGGTAGGGGTTTTTGTCTGTCTTCCTCATCGTTCTGTGTCCTTCAAAGGAATGTTGAGAAAAACAAATGTTAGCTGTTGGTCACATGACTGTAGAAGTTCAGTTAGTATTAGATGTAACAGGGACTGAATGGGTGGCTGAGGCAGTGGTGCCACGGAGGGCCTACTGGGACATGTCCTTCTGACTTGGACATTTCCCCCACAGGTGTCGCTCGAGAAGGTGCTTGGCATCACAGCCCAGAACAGCAGTGGCCTGACCTGTGACCCCAGCACAGGCCATGTGGCCTACCTGGCAGGGTGAGTGAGTGGGCGGGCCTTGGCTTTTCTGGCTGGAGGATGCAGGTAAGCTGCCTACCCCTGAGGACTGTGGAGAGGCCCATCTAGGTCTAGAACAGCACCCGGCATGTGGTGAGCACCATGAAAGCCTTATTGTGACTGCAGATGGGAGGTGGTGGCGATTCTGGGAAATACCCAAGCCATGGTGTTAGACAGCCTGGATTTGTGTCCCAGCTCCACTGTGTGCTCTTCTGTGAACCCCTGCTGCTTCGTCCATAAAACACAACTAGGAATATCCTCCTTTTGGGTAGTTGAGAGGACTGAAAGATCTCCTCCTGTTTATTCCATAAATACTGATCTAGCCTGGCACTGTTCTAGGCGCCAAAGACCCCTCCACTCCTGGAGGGCAGGGGCAGATCTGTAGTCCTTCCTAATGAATAATATCTGTCTGTCATTGAGTCTTTACAATGCAGTCCAGGATAGAGGACAAGGGTGGGCTCTTGAATCTGTTATGGATTCATATCCCCACTCTGTTCCTGACCTGCTGGGTGGTCCTGGGCAAAGGATTTTCCCTCTCTGGGCTTCAAGTTTCCTCATCTACAAGAGGGGGCTAAGATTTCCGACTTTACCTGTCATTTGTGAGGATTTAAAGAGATTGTGCACATAAGGTCTTTATTAGCCCAGTGCCTGACAGAAGTAGTGTTGGTTTCTATTTAAGAATATATTATCTAATAACTTGAAGTGTCCTAAGATTCTCAGCGTTAGACACCTGGAGAAGGAGGAGAGAATCTTCTGTTCAGAGCCTTATTTATGTGTGGGCTCTTCTGTTGGGAATAGAATCATCCCTGGACCCCAATACTCCCCTCAGTTTGGGCACATTTCCCTCTTTCTCCCCAGCTGTGTGGTGGTGATTTTGAACCCCAAGGAGAACAAGCAGCAGCACATTTTTAACACTGCCAGGTAGGCTGGGGCCTGGACATTGGGTAGGGGTGGGGTGAGGGTCCCGGCGCACACCCCCTTCCCCGCATGGCTTGGGAGTTCGTAGGTGGGTAACTAAGTCATTCACTCACCCGTCGGTTCAGCGACATTGTTGCTTTGTGCTAGGTAGTGTTCTGGGTGCTGGGGACAGTGAACAAAAGACATGAGAATCTCTGCTCTTGTAGAGCTGACAGTCCAGCAGGGAAGACAGACTAAACCAGTTGGCAAATTACTAACCAACTCTGACCATCGCTGTGGGGGAAATAACGAGGATGTGTTAGGGCAGGTTTGCAGGCAGAAAATGGAGGAAAACCATATCAGAGGGCTCGGGGAGGGCCTCTTGGAGGCTGAGACCTGAAAGAAGTAAGGGAGTGGCCCCCGCAAAAGTGTAGGGGGCGTCTTCCAGATAGAAGGAACAGCAAGGGCAAAAGGCCCTGCAGTGAGTAAGAATCTTGGAGCAGCCGGAGATTCTTTTGCCTGGAATTAGAGGAGGGGGCAAAGGGGAGAGGAGGCTGAAACAGAAGCCGCTTCTGGGTCTTAACAATTGTTTAACTTTTCACATTGAAATCATTTTAGATTTTAAAGAACAATACAAAGAATGCCTGTCTACCTTTCACTCATTTTCCCCAGATGTTGACCTTTTACCATATTTGCTTTATCATTCTCAGTCTATATACATAGTAATTTTTTTTTGAACCATTTGAGAGTAAATTGGGGACATGATACCCCTGTGCCTCTAAATATTTCAGTGTGGATTTCCTGGGCATGGGGTGGGCATTATCCTTCAAAACCACAGTACATTCAACAAAGTCAGGAGATTAAAACTGGTACATCACTACCAACTAAGCCTCTTTCAAGTTTTAACATTTACCCCAAGAATGTTCTTTACAGCAAAAGAATTCTGTCCAGAATCACACGTTGCTCAGTTGTCTCTTTGGTCTTCTTCAGTCTGAAGCAGTTCCTTTGTCTTTTCTTGACTTTTATGACCTTGACACTCGAGGATGACAGGCCAGGTATTTTGTAGAAGGCTCCACCCTTTGGGTTTGTCTGATGTTTCCTCATAGATAGACTGAGGTTCTGCATCTTTGGCAGGAACACCTCAGAAGGAATGCTGCATCCTCCTCAGTGCGTTCTGTCAGGCGGTGCATGATATTGACCTCTCTTACGACCAGTGGTGTTCCCTTGGGCCCTTGGTTAAGGTGGTGTCTGCCAGGCTTTTCCACTGTGAAGCTTCTCTTTTCCCCCGGTGACTAGTGAGTATGTTGTGGGGAGCATCTCTGAAACTGCATGTATCACCCTGTTCCTCACCACACTTTCGTTCATGCTTCTTAGCATGGCTTTGACATTTTTCAAAGCCTCTGCAGGGAATTCTGATGGCCAGGGCTTTGCCCTGTCAGGTAACTTGGGCAGGACTTCCCTGTGTTGAGGTCTCCTCGTCTCAAAACTGGCTGAGAGACCTGAGTTCATGGAGCATGCCTGAGGAATTAGTGCAGCGATGCCCATAGAGCATTTTGTGGAGGGCCGGGCGCAGGGTCAGGGCACACGGCAGGCTAGGAGTGGCTGCAGTCAACGGAAACCCACGAGCATGGCTTCAAACACAAGGGCATGCTCTTTGTGCTCGAAAGAAGTCTGGAGGTGAGGACCCAGGGGCTGGTGTCTCTGCAAGCCTCAGGAACCCCAGCCTGCCTGTCTTCTTGTTCCACCGTGCCTGTTGTGAGGCCTCTGTACTTGAGGTTGTCTCCTGGTCCAAGATGGAGTTCTGGCTGTCATGTCCGTTATTCAGAAGGGGAACGATTGGGGATCAGGACAAAGAGTTGCCTTTGAGAAGCTTTTCTGGAAATCCCACGTGCGTTTCAGTTTACTTCTCACCGGCCAGACTAAATCATGTAGCTGTACCTGTGTAGAGAGGCGAGGAAATGTACTCCAGCTGGAGACACTGCCATTCTAATTAAAATTTGGCTTCTGTGGGCGAGGAAGGATGGGCAGGTGGTGATCGGGTAGGCAGCTTGCCTTGTCTGCTGCCCTAGGAGTGGTGGGAAGCCACCAGAGAGTTAGGTGATGATGATAAGTGTTCTATAAGATTGTCAGAGACTCAGAGGCATTCGCTTAGTTACCTGCACACCAACTAACTCTCGTGAGGGAGACCATTACTAGACCGTTAAGGAACACAGGTAAAATAGGATTAAAAGAGAGAGTGGAGGGGCACCTGATGGGCTCAGTTGGTTGGGCGATTGATTTCTGCTCAGGTCATGATCCTAGAGTTGTGGAGCCCAGTCCCACGTTGGGCTCCGAGCTGAGCGTGGAGCCTGCTTGAGATTCTTTCTCTCCCCTCCTCTCCCCAGCTTGTGTGTGTGTGCTCTCTCTCTCTCTCAAATAAAAAAGAGAGAGAGGGGAGAGGAAAAAAACAATGTAGTCTGGGAACCATGAAACTTGCTGCCAGAAAAAACATGCAAACTACTCTGGTCATTCAGTCCTTGTGCAGGCTAGAGAGAAACATGTTGGTTGTTCATGGGTTTTCCAGAACACTTTGAGTGTTTAGCAGTGGAGCACATGCTGTCTCAGTGTGATGTCTGCCAGCACCGCACCGCCCCCCCCAGTTAGGACAGATCGGTACTATTTCCTGCACCTGAATTCTCAGGGTTACAGGGTGGGTGGGGCCTTAGGGAGCCCACCCCTGCTGAGCAAGAAGAAAGGAAGGTCCTTGTACAGTGACCACCCTATCTATGTTTGGGGACTTTGCTTTTACGCCTGGTTTCCTGTGCCACTGACCCTCTTCTGTCAGTGGGGAATGCAGGGAACGCGCTGTATGCTGTGCTGGGCACACGGGCAACATTGGCTCTGTGGGAGCTGCTGGCACTCACCTCTCCTGGCCTCTTTCAAGGCTTGGGAGCAAGGAGTGGGCAGAGTTCTGTGAGCACAGCCAGGCTGGGGTCTGGCTGCCTACCCGCCTTGGAACCAATGACCGGCGCTTTTCCCTTCCCTCAGGAAGTCGCTGAGTGCTCTGGCCTTCTCCCCTGATGGGAAGTACATAGTGACAGGGGAGGTGAGTTGTGTTTGTGAGTGGGTGGGGAGGGATCTTGGGGCCATTCCTTCTACCCCACAGTAGGTGTGGGAAGCCCCTAGAATAGCTTCTTCCTGGGCCAGAAAGCCCCATGGCAGATGGGGGAGGTGGCTTTGGGGCATACTGGGGCAATGCCAATTTTAGCCCCAGTAGCCCTTCCAGCCCCTCCTGGTGCAGATCCCAGCAGCAGTAATGGCCCAACCTTCCCCAGAACGGGCACAGGCCTGCTGTGCGCATCTGGGATGTGGATGAGAAGAATCAGGTGGCAGAGATGCTGGGCCACAAGTACGGCGTGGCCTGTGTGGCCTTCTCCCCCAATATGAAGCACATCGTGTCTATGGGCTACCAGCACGACATGGTACTCAACGTCTGGGACTGGAAGGTGAGAAGACTGGTGGGGGTACTCTGCAGCTCAGGCATTAAGCGAACTTAAATGAGATAATTTGGTAAAGTGTTCATTTATCCGGAAAATATTTATTGAGCAGCTAGTGCATGCTGATCCCAGTTTTAGACACTTACTGTGAGGCATACGACAAGCTCTAACTAGTAGAATTACGTAATTATTCTCATACTGACCAGCTGTGACCTTGAGCAAGTGACTTATCTGTGGGTCCGTTTCCTCATCTGTAAAAGGGATACGTTAGCATCTCCCTTGTTGAGTTGTGAGAATTCAGTGAGTTAATACGCACTGAAGGCTGGATTTGGGAACAGCTAGGGGAGGACTTGGAGGTGGCAGAAGTGGGTGGCAAATCCTGGCTGTGTTCACAACGTGCTGTGTGATCTTGAGCACATGACACCACCTCTCTGAGCCTGGCAGAGGTGGGGAGAAGCACCTACCATATAGGACAATGGAGAGGATTTCATCCTGCAAAGGCTCTGCCACGTGTGAGCTGTAGAGCTGGGACTCTTGGGGAGAGCTCTGGAACTTACTCACACATGGAAACCTTTCCAAACCTCAGTCTCCTCTGATTAGTAAAGATAAGAGTGCCACACGTAGGTTTCCCCAAGGGCCCAGAGGGCCCCAGGAAAACTGACCTGGAGCAGGGGATGGCTGAGTGATACAGGGCTCAGGCACAGGCACAAATGATCCAATGGCTGGGTGCTAGCGTGAACTTCTGTGCGTTGATTCTTCCAGAAAGACATTGTGGTGGCTTCCAACAAGGTATCGTGCAGGGTCATCGCCCTCTCTTTCTCAGAGGACAGCAGCTATTTTGTCACCGTAGGGAATCGGCATGTGAGGTTCTGGTTCTTGGAAGTCTCCACTGAAGCAAAGGTAGGTTTCTGCCCCTGTCCCCTTAGCCAGGCCTGGCGGTTAACCGTTAGGGGCAGTGTGGACTGTTTCTACCTGAGATTTGGAGCCAGTGATCTCAGAGGTCGTCTGGCCTCTGGTTCAGCTTCTGCTTCTGGGCCTGCTCAGACAGCTCAGACAGCTCAGGTGCTGTCAGGCCCTGCTGGGAAATCTCCCGACACACAGACCCTGGGGCCAGACCTCTTTTCTGGACTGCCACCTTCCAGCCACTCTGCCTAGAAGTGTCTGTTCTGCTTTTTTCTTCCTTTTTTCCTCCATTTGGAGGAATGCCTTCGAGCCCTTCTGTTTAGCTATGTGTCATATCGTCTGGTCATGAGAGTCCCATTGTGACCTTGCTGGGGTCGAGGCCATGAGGACAGTGTCTTACTATGCCCTGCTGTGCCTCCAGGTGACGGGCACGGTGCCCCTCGTAGGGCGTTCAGGCATCCTGGGAGAGCTGCACAACAACATCTTCTGTGGCGTGGCTTGTGGCCGGGGCCAGATGGCAGGCAATACCTTCTGTGTGTCCTACTCGGGCCTCCTCTGCCAGTTCAATGAGAAGAGGGTGCTGGAGAAGTGGATCAACCTGAAGGTACCCCACCCTCCCTGTCTGCCATCAGTGGGGAAAACACTCTTCCCAGGACATGTGTCTCTAGGGACATTCAGTAATGTCCCTGCCGGGTAGTTGATTCCACTAACTCTGGGTTTAACCTCTCAAAAGTTCTGCTTGTGAGACTTTTGGTGAGTAACTTTCCCTCAATGAGCCTCAGTTTCCTCATCTGTAAAATGGAAATCCTGCTGCCTACCTCACAGAGTTAATAAGGGAGTCCCATGAGATAATGTATAGAAGGTGCTCAGCACAGTGCCTGGTACCCTGTAATGGGGTCAAGGTTACAATCGCTCTCCTGTCACTGTTTGATCCAGTTCCCATTTTTCTTCTTCACTGAGCACTCTTAACTGGTGGGAGGACTGCATTTTTTTTTTTTTTAATCTAAGGTATGATTGACTTCATTTTTCAGTCAAAAAAGACTATGTTAAAAATACATAACTTTTTGGGGCGCCTGGGTGGCGCCGTCAGTTAGGCCTCCGGCTTCAGCCAGGTCACGATCTCGCGGTCCGTGAGTTCGAGCCCCGCGTCAGGCTCTGGGCTGATGGCTCAGAGCCTGGAGCCTGTTTCCGATTCTGTGTCTCCCTCTCTCTGCCCCTCCCCTGTTCATGCTCTGTCTCTCTCTGTCCCAAAAATAAATAAACGTTGAAAAAAAAAATTAAAAAAAAATACATAACTTTTTTTTAAGTTTATTTATTTTGAGAGAGAGTGAGAGTGTGAGCAGGGGAGGGGCATAGAGAGAGAGGGAGAGAGAGAACCCAATCAGGCTCTACACTATCAGCACAGAGCCCATTGCAGGGCTCAGTCTTGCGAACCATGAGATCACGACCTGAGCCGAAACTAAGAGTGGGGTGCTTACCTGACTGGGCCACTGAGGTGCTCTTAAAACATTTTATTTATTTTTTTAAAAAATTTTTTGAATGTTTATTTTTGAAGGAGAGAGAGAGAGCATGAGCAGTGGAGGAGCAGAGAGAAAGGGAGACACAGAATCCAAAGTGGGCTCCAGGCTCTGAGCTGTCAGCACAGAACCTGACATGGGGATGGAGCTCACAAACCATGAGATCATGACCTGAGCCGAAGTCAGACGCTTAACCGACTGAGCCACCCAGGTGCCCCCTCTTATAACATTTTAAACCAAAGGATGGGGGCTTCTGGGTCGCTCAGTTGGTTAAGCATCCAACTCCTGATCTCAGCTCAGGTCATGATCTCAGTTTGTGGGATTGAGCCCCGAGTTGGGCTCTAGGCTGATGGTGTGAGTCTGCTTAGGATTCTTCTCTGCCCCTTCCCACTCTCATTCTCTCTCTCTCAAAATAAATAAATAAAAACTTATAAATAAATAAATAAACAAACAAACAAATAAAAGATGTTACATCTATAAATTGCAGAACTACTTTTCTTCAGGATCTGAGGGTTTGAATCCAAACTGTCTTCCTATTCTGAGACTGGATGCCCATTGGCTATCAGCAGGAGCATAATGGTTTTCCCTCCTTTTCCTACTCCTGATTTTTTTTTTTTTTTTTTTTTTTTTGAGAGAAAAGAGCATGCGAGTCGGGAAGGGGCAGAGAGAGAATCCCAAGCAGTGCAGAGCCTGATGTGGGGCTCCATCTCCCCTGTGAGATTGACCTGAGCTGAGATCAGGAGTTGGACACTTAACCAACTGAGCCACCCAGGCACCCCATCCTACTCCTGCTCTTGTGGCTCCCCTCCAGAACTCACCTTTAGGGTTAAAGGAATGGTGTCAGGCCTGTGGAAGAATTCAGAGTTTCATCTGTTTTTCCTAGTTGGTCAAACATCATTTGTTTTTTTCTCGTTTGAATCCTCTTTCTAGAACTTTGGCAGCTTAAGCAAGTCCAAAGCTTTTGACAGATGGATGGTTAGCCCCTGAGCAGTTGTCATAAATGACAACTTATAAATTAAGTTCCTCTAGACTTGGACACACTCCTGTAATGTGTATCCAGAGGTCTGGCACTTCCTGCCCTGGCCATCTGTGTGTTCTGGCAGGATAGATGGCCCAATTGTCTTTCCTGTATACGGTAACATTTTTCTGTGTTGCTCTGAAGTATAATCTCTATGAAGTTGTTTTCAAACAATAAGGAGTAAAATGTAAGCCTCAAATTCAACCCTTTTACTGCAAATTACCTATCTGAAGTCACTATCTGCTGAACAGATTATTTTCCACACACAGCCGAGTTCCTCTGTAAACAATAACAATTCTGTCATAATTTGTGCCTCTGTCTGCCTGCTGGCATGTTTCTTTCAATGGTGACTGCTACATCCTGCTGTCAAAAGTCTTAAAATTTGCTAAAATAGACTTCTTAGACCCAAAGAACTAAAAGGCTTCTCTGGAGGCTGTTCTGTTAGTCCCTGTGTCCCTGAACTGGGCCACATGAAACACCAAGTACACTTGTGTTCCCTTTGCCCCCACAGGTCTCTCTGTCTTCCTGCCTGTGTGTCAGCCAGGAGCTCATCTTTTGCGGCTGCACAGATGGGATAGTCCGCATCTTCCAGGCCCACAGCCTGCAGTACCTCGCGAACCTGCCCAAACCGCACTACCTTGGGGTGGACGTGGCCCAGGGCTTGGAGCCCAGGTACTGCCCAGCAGGGGGAAGGAGAGGAGCCCACTCAGTCTGTCCACTGACATTCACTCATGCTTCCGGCCCCATCTACCTATCTGGCCAGCCCTGGGCTGGAAGGAGACAGCTATAACGAGGCAGCAAAATCTCTGCCACCATGAAGTCTGCAGTCTAGTGAGGGAGCTTGATGATAAGCAAGTACACAAACGAGACCATTTCAGATAGTCATAAATGCTGTGGTGAAATAAAGCAGGGACTCAGAAAGGAAAGTGCCCGGGGATGGGGCTGTGTTGATTGGCAGCCAGGGGAAGCGTCTTTGGTGAGAGGGAGCCAGCTGTGTGGAGAGCTGGGTCCCAAGAGCAAGCGTAAAGACCTGAAGGGAAAAACACCCTGGGCTTGGTGTGTTGCAGGAACAGCTAGGGACTGTGTGATCAGAGCCTAGTGTACCAGGGGAAGATGTTGGGAGACAGGTCTGAACATTTATGGAGACTGGCAGGGGAAGCTTCCTTCCAATAAAGGAAGTCTTTTCTGATGTCAGTGGGCAGCCTGATTTCAGACATTGGCATTGGTTATATGGTCAGGCCTTGAGCATTAGATCCCTCTGGCTGCCATGTTGAGAGGGGGTGGAAGGGCTGAGCTGTGCTGTATCTTCCCCTTTGTTGTAAGGCTGTTTGGTGTCTGTAAAACGTAGGACCTACCTCTCATGGAGACTGGGAATTCAGTGTCGCTAAAGCTCTCAGATCGGCGTGTCATAGATGCTCAGTAAACTGTAGCCTTTGTAGGGAGGCCCCAGGTCAGGGGACAGCTCCCCAGCCCCTTGCATAGGGATTTTTGATCACATGTTGGTGGGGCCAATGAGAGAGAACTGAGAACTGATGGTATGTGCCCATCATCCTTCCATGCTCAGAGAGAGGATGGAGCTTGGGTTGGATTAGATGAAGGGAGAGAGATGTCAACAGGAGTCAAAAATTCAAATGTTCTCAGGGGCCAGCCAGAAGCTTCCAGTTTACAACCTTTGGACTAGAAGCAAAAGCAAAGGAACTGGGAGGGAGGAAGGAGAAGTGGAGTTGGAGTGGGAGATGGACCACCCCAAATATAAGGAATGGCATTGCCAAGCAAGAGGCAGCTAGCTCAGGTGTCACCAGGAGCAGCTGTCACTACTCACAGTGACATTGATGGTGACTGATGGCACATGTGGCCTTGTTAGCTTCCTCTTCCACAGAAAGGCAGAAGCAGTCTACCCAGATACGGTGGCACTGACCTTCGACCCCATCCATCAGTGGCTGTCCTGCGTGTATAAGGACCACAGCATCTACATCTGGGATGTCAAAGACATCAACAAAGTAGGCAAGATGTGGTCGGAGCTCTTCCACAGCTCCTACGTCTGGAACGTGGAGGTGAGTCCCTGTTTTCTTCCCTCTGCCCCTGCTCGGCTCCCATCTGGGGCTCATCTGGGGAAAGCTTCCCCAGTTTAGGGAACCCATTCAGCTCTTCCTTCACAAGATCCCAACTTTGTGCCAGATGCTGTTCTATCTAGGTGCTGGAGACATGGCTGGGAAGGAAACTGATGAAAATCCTGCATTCGGGGGGGAGAGTAAACCCACACGTCATCAACACCAACCAAGCAGCACTACCTCTCCAAAGAAAAATAAAACAGCGTAGGGCAAAAGGGATCAAGGGTGCTATTCTAGAGAGGGGAATGATCAGGGAAGTCCTCTCTGAGGACATGACATTCAAGCAGAGACCTGCAGGAAGCGCGGCGTGTGGCCACTGGGGAGAACAGTGTTAAGAACATGTGTACCTTGGAGAGCTTGCTGTGGAGGCCATTTGTGTAGTTTAGTGCTTTTCTAAGTGTTGAAGTTTTCTGAGAATGAGTCTTTGGGATGTTTTCATTCTCTAAAGCTGTTCTAAGTCCTTGCACATAAGACAACCAGTGGGGAAATAGTTGTATTCTACCTTTTTTTTTCTTTTTTTGTCCCTCAAATTTCTTACTGATAGAGCACTTGTCCTAGAGAAATTATGTTTTTGGTGGCCCAGTTCACAACTGGGAGAAATAACTTGATCCGTTTGAATAAGCATTATTTAGCCCTTTGACTGCTTGAATCCATCTGCCTTCGTAGATCTGAGTTTTCTGCTGATAGCACTTTTCTCTTAACAAGCATGTTGTTTAAATAACTTTAAATTTTTGTATATAAATATATTCTCCTTGAAAAACAGGTGAAATATTTCAAAGCTAAAGACTGTTTTGATCACTTCCCTATCCCCCAATCCTCTCTCTCACCCTCACCTTTGTTGTTGGTTTAGTATATGCTCTTTCAGTTCATTTTCTTTGCATCCACCTGTTATTTATATATCTGTCTCTTCAACAAAAATATCTGTGGGTGCATCTTTTTATCAGTTCTGGAAAGAACAGCCAGTACAGACTTAATAATTGCCTCTACCCTGTTCTTTCTCTTCATCTGTAACTCCCATGTCCTCTCTCTATCCCTCATACTTTTTATAAATAGAACAGATCTAGAAAACCACACAAAAGAAATGTACAGTTTATTAATTGTTAGCAGCTATTGGTGCTCAATGCATAGATCCATTTATTCCTTGGGGGTTGCAATATGGTGATATTCTAATTCTATCATTTCTTTTTATTAGTTGGACTACTTATATGAAGAAACAATTCCCCTCATCTACCATTTGGTCACCCAGTGGTACACTTCATATAGGAAAGGCAGGATAAATGCTTGATTCTTTCCCTTTATTTACCAGTTTTCAAGATAATGAATTGGTTCCCTGTCCTCTAAAGGTAACTAGTTGTTTTTATTTAATATCATTGTAAACTCATATATGTAAATATATTGGATATATTTTAATCCATTGCAATTATTAACATTATTAAAGCTCAAATTGTCCCATCTTTGACCAGTGGGAGCCTCTTTAAGTTGGCTCCTGAGTCCTTTGGACATGACCCTAGTAATCTTTCTTTGGTAGCTTCCTTGCTATTGGAGATGACGAGATGTTCCAGTTGCATCTTGTACATTTCCTGTCCCAGACCTGGAATCAACCATTTCTTGAAGAAGCCCTGAGTTTTTGTTTTGTTTTCAGTGTGAACTGGTATTTCAAATTCACTGTCTGAGTGCTGGGGATGCTCATAGGTATTGGATTGATCCTTCCAGAATCCTAAAGACATGGGGGATGATGGAATTAGGATATCTCCCCAGTTAATCATTTACTTATTCCCACATTATATGTACAACAGTCTGAGAATGACAATTATTCAATTTTGAAAAGAGTTTAAAACAATTTTTTTTTTGCCTATGTTCTCTCCATTCACCCCCATTTTTAAAAATAGTTATACTATTTCTGTGTGATTTGATCATTATATACCACATTCTCTTCCTTATGACCCCATTTATTTGGGGGAGGGTAATAAGTGTACATATATATTGTGGTAAAATACACATAGCATAAAATTCACCATTTAAATAATTTTAAAATGTACAATTCAGTGGCATTCAATACATTCACAATGTTATACAACCATCCCTACTATCCAGCACTGGAACATTTTCATCACCTCAAAAGGAAACTCTGTACCCAAGCAATCAATCCCTTTTCCCACTTCCCCAACCCTAATCTGCTTTCTGTCGCTATGACTTTGCCTGTTCTGAATATTTCATACAAATGGAAAAATAAAATATGTAGACTCTGTGTCTGGATTCTTTCACTTAATGTTTTCAAGGTTTACCCACGTGGTTACTTACATGTTTCAGTACTTCATTCCTTTTTTAGGGTTGAATAATATTCCAGTGTATGGATATACCATGTTTTGTTTATCTGTTCATCAACTGATGGATATTTGTGTTGTTTCCATCCTCTGGCTTTATGAATAGTGCTGCTATGAACGTTCATGTACAAGCTTTGTTTGAACATCTGTTTTCAGTTCTTTGGGGTGGTATACCTGGTGGGCAGAATTGCTGGGTCATATGGTAATTCTGTGTTTAACTTTTTGAGGAACCCCCAAACTTTTCCCAGCAGCTGCATCATTTTATATTCCCACTAGCCATCCTCCACATCCTTACCAACACTGTTTTTTTTTTGATTTTTGAAGTATAGCCATCTTAGTGTTTGTGAAATGGTAGTATATTGTGGTTTTGACTTGCATTTCCCTAATGGTTAATGATACTGAATTTCTTTTTATGTGCTAGCTGGTAATTTGTATATCTTTGAAGAAATATCTATTCAAATATTTTGTCCAGTTTTTACTTGGGTTGTCTTTTTGCTTTTGAATTGTAAGAGTTCTTTACATATTCTGGATATCCTTATTAGATATATGATTTACAAATATTTTCTTCCATTTTTATGTTATCCACTTTCTTGTATCCTTTGATGTACAAAGATTTTTAATTTTGATAAAGTTCAATTTAGTTTTTTCTTTTATTGCTTGTATCTTTGGTGTCATAACTAAAAAACCATTGCCAAATCCACAACCATGAAGATTTACTTTTCTTCTAAGGGTTTTATTATTTTAGCTCTTCCATTTAGGTCTTTGGTCTCTTTTGAGTTAATTTTTGTTAACTTTTATACTTGAAGCAAGGGTCCAGCTTCATTATTTTGCATGTGGGTATATAATTCCAGCACTGTTTATTGAACAGACTATTCTTTCCCCTTGGATAATCTTGGCACACTTGTCGAAAATCAATTGACCATAGATGTATGGATTTAATTTTGTACCCTCAGTTATATTCCATTGATGTATGTCTATCTCTATGCCAATGGCACAGAATTTTGATTACTGTAGCTTTGTAATAAGTTTTGAAATTAGGAAGTGTGTTTCCTACAACTTTGTTCTTCTTTATCAATATTGGCACTATTTGGGATCAGCTTTTCTGTTTCTGAAAAAAAAAAACAACAACCTTATCTCCATTGTAATTTTTATCTTCTTCTTGCCAGCCCTTGGTTTAGTTTGCTCTTCTTTTCTAGTTCCTTAAGGTGAGACATTATTGATTTGAGACTTTCTTGATGGAGGCATTTACAGCTATAAATTTCCCTCTGAGTATTGCTTTTGCTGCATTCCATAAGTTTTGGTATATTGTGTTTTCATTTTCACTTGTGTCAAAGTATTTTCTAATTTCCCTTTGATTTCTTCACTGATCCATTGGTTGTGTAACAGTGCGTGATTTAATATTCACATATTTGTTAATTCTCCAAATTTCCTTCTGTTATTTGTAATTTCATTCTGACTGTCGTTAGATTGTTTGTGTGATTACAGTCTTTTAAAATGTATTGACTTCTTGGGGCGCCTGGGTGGCGCAGTCGGTTAAGCGTCCGACTTCAGCCAGGTCACGATCTCGCGGTCCGTGAGTTCGAGCCCTGCGTCAGGCTCTGGGCTGATGGCTCAGAGCCTGGAGCCTGTTTCCGATTCTGTGTCTCCCTCTCTCTCTGCCCCTCCCCCGTTCATGCTCTGTGTCTCTCTGTTCCAAAAATAAAAATAAAAACGTTGAAAAAAAATATTTTTTAAAAATAATAAAAAAAAAATAAAATGTATTGACTTCTTTTGTTACCTTATAGGTGGTCTATTCTGGAGAATGCTCCATGTTTACTTGAGAAGAATGTGGGTTATGCCGTTATTGGGTGGAGTATTCTTTACATATCTGTTAGTCTGTTTGGTTTATAGTGTTTTTCTAGTCCTCTATTTCCTTATTGATAATTTCTTATAACTATCTTTTGTTGAAAATGGAATGTTGAAGTCTTCAACTGTTATAATGCTGTTTCCAATTCTGTCAGTTTTTGCTTCGTGTATTTTGGTTCTCTGCTCTTATGTGTGTATGTTTGTGTTATATCTTCTTGATGGTTGGCCCCTTTATCAATATATAATGCCCTTCTTTGTCACTTGTAACAGTTTTTTTTTAATATGAAATTTATTGTCAAATTGGTTTCCATACAACACCCAGTGCTCATCCCAAAAGGTGCCCTCCTCGATACCCATCACCCACCCTCTCCTCCCTCCCACCCCCCATCAACCCTCAGTTTGTTCTCAGTTTTTAACAGTTTTTTATGCTTTGGCTCTCTCCCACTCTAACCTCTTTTTTTTTTTTTCCTTCCCCTCCCCCATGGCTTCCTGTTAAGTTTCTCAGGATCCACATAAGAGTGAAACCATATGGTATCTGTCTTTCTCTGTATGGCTTATTTCACTTAGCATCACACTCTCCAGTTCCATCCACGTTGCTACAAAAGGCCATATTTCATTTTTTCTCATTGCCACGTAGTATTCCATTGTGTATATAAACCACAATTTCTTTATCCATTCATCAGTTGATGAACATTTAGGCTCTTTCCATAATTTGGCTATTGTTGAGAGTGCTGCTATGAACATTGGGGTACAAGTGCCCCACTTGTAACAGTTTTTAAAAATTTTTTAAAAAATATTTATTTTTGAAAGAGAGAGAGACAGAGTGTGAGTGTGGGGATGAGGGGGCGGGGAGCAGAGAGAGAGGGAGACACAGAATCTGAAGCAGGCTCCAGGCCCTGAGTTGTCAGCACAGAGACCAACAGGGGCTTGAACCCATGAGCAGTGAGCTCATGACCTGATCCAAAGAGGGATGCTCAACTGACTGAGCCACCCAGGCACCCCCACTTGTAACAGTTTTTGACTTAAACTCTATTTCGTCTGATACTACTATATACATGCAAATTTCTTTTCTGGTTACTATTTGTATGGAGTATCTTTTTTTTTTTTTTTAATATATGAAATTTATTGTCAAATTGGTTTCCATACAACACCCAGTGCTCATCCCAAAAGATGCCCTCTTCAATGCCCATCACCTACCCTTCCCTCCTTCCCAGCCCCCCATCAACCCTCAGTTTGTTCTCAGTTTTTAAGAGTCTCTTATGCTTTGGCTTTCTCCCACTCTAACCTCATTTTTTTTTCCCCTTCCCCTCCCCCATGGGTTTCTGTTAAGTTTCTCAGGACCCACATAAGAGTGAAAACATATGGTATCTGTCTTTCTCTGTATGGCTTGTTTCACTTAGCATAACACTCTCCAGTTCCATCCACATTGCTACAAAGGGCCATATTTCATTCTTTCTCATTGCCACGTAGTACTCCTGTATGGAGTATCTTTTTACATAACTTTACTGTCACCCTGTATGTGTCTGGATATAAAGTAGCCTCTTATGGACAACAGAGAGTTGGATCTTTTTTTAATGAAGTCTGCCAATAATTTCCTTTTTATTACAGAGTTTAATCCCTTTACATTTAAGGTAATTACTCCTAAGATGGGATTTATTTTTATTTTCTTCTTTTCTTGCCTATCTCATAATTTTTTTTTGTTGAAACCTAGATATTTTGATTTTTATAATGTGATGACTCTGGAAATCAAATTCTTCTCCTCCACGCTGGGATTTGTTGTGTGGGTTGTAGTTGTTTAGTGGTTTTTCTGAACTGTTTTTGTAAAGATTGTGTTCTTTTTCATGTGTAGTCACTAAAGTCTTTCCATTATCTGAGATGTCGGCTGTTGTGATTTGACAGCAGTTTCCTTAAATGTCAAAATGCAGCAGCTTCTTTCTTTTTTAAGCTCTCCCTGGTTATTGTAAGTTAGATTCCAGAGTTCTGAAAAAGTTGATTCTGACAGTTTTTTGGAGCTTAAGTTTGTTTTGGTGGAGGGATAGCTTTTTGGAGTTCTCCCCACTGTGCCGTTTTCAGGGATGTCACTTGACCCTCATTTATTCTTTGTTCTACGAGTAACTATATATTTAATCTATGTTGATGTCTCTAGTTGTTTTTGTTGTCTGAAGCTCCTTCTTTTTTTTTTTTTTTTTTTGAGAGAGAGCACGGGGGAGGGGCAGAGAGAGGGGGACAGAGGATCTGAAACAGGCTCTGCACTGACAGCACAGAGCCCGTGGACCTTGAACTCACGAGCCATGAGATCATGATCTGAAGCCAAAGTCAGACGCTTAACCGACTGAGCTAACCAGGTGCCCCTGGAGCTCATTCTTTAGAAGATTTGTCAGGAACAGTTCATGGGGACAGTATCTCCCAATATGAGTTTTTGCATATTGGTAAGTTTATATTTGTCCTTTATACTTGAAAGTCACTCCTGCTGGATAGAAAATATTTGGCTCATGTTTTCTTTCCTTGTCTCTCTTAAATACATTATTTCATTTTCTTATGGTTATTGAAATGTCTGATTGTTTTCCCTTTTAAGTCACTTTCTGTGCTTGCCTAGAAGCCCAAAGGATTTCTTTCTTTTACTTTTAGGCCTAGTAATGTTACTCTAGAGTATATCTTGGTATTGGTTTTTATAGGTAGACCTATTCCTGCTGTATACATTTTAGTATTTCTGTTCCCTTGATGTGGTTTTCTTCAGGGATTTCTATTATCTATATGTTGGATTCTCATTGCCTAGCTCCAGTAGTGTCACTTTTTCTCAAATCCTTTTAGTTCTTTCATCATTTGTTTTATTTTTAAAATTTCCCCCTTTTAGGGGTGCCTGGGTGGCTCAGTTGGTTAAGTGTCCGACTCTTGGTTTCAGTTACATCATGTGATCTCATGGTTTGTGGGTTTAAGCCCCGCATTCTGCCTCATGCTGACAGTGTGGAGCCTGCTTGGGATTCTCTCTCTCTGCCCCTCCCCCTCTGGCCCCCTCTGTCTCTCTCTCAAAATAAATAAATAAACTTAAAAGATAAAAAAAAAAAAAGCCCCCTTTTTACCTATTTCTTCATGCCTTACCTTTTTGTGTTTATTCGCTTTTGGATTCCTTCTAATTTGGTTTTTATTCCTAAAATGATCTCTTCATTTATTTCTAACTCTGAATTCTGTCATCTTATTTCTGAATTTCCTAATTGGGAAATTGTTTTGTTTTGTGGAAATATGTTTCTGGTGTGCTTTCTTTCTTTTCCTTTTATTTTAAAGGGTAACTTTGTTTGGGACTGGAGTTTGGTTCTTTTTTGTTTTCATTTTTAGAAATGGTATAGTTCATGGGACACCTGGCTGGCTCAGTCCGTAGAGCCATGATCTGAGGGTCATGAGTTTGAACCCCACCTTGGGTGTAGAGATTACTTAAATAAAAATAAAAACAGAAGTTGGTGTGGTTGAGGGCAGATTTTCTAGCTTCCCAAGAAAGGATTCCATCTTCTATGATTTTTATACTATTTAAAAAAATATGGCAGCTTGCTTTCTGATATTTCCTTATTATGTTCCTATTTATGTGTTGTGCCCCTACCTTTTTCTAAGCCTCCTCTTTACTCTGGCTCTCCAGTGTCTATCCTGATCAGTCTTGTTTTCCCTCTGGGTGGGCCTTTGGCCATGGGTGAGAGCCATGGCAGGTCAGTGTTAAGAGTTCACAGGATCTTCACAGCTCCAGCCCCTTTGGACCTAATTGCCAAAGCACACACTCAACCACTATTGGAGTGGATCAAACCCTCCTGGTTTGAACTGCTGTTCAGTTTGAACTGTTGTACTTTCCCTGTGAATACCCGTTGGCTACTTTGGGGTTATCCTTTGTTGGGTAACCACAGAGTTACTCAAAGAACAACAATGTTGCTTCCTTCTGTGTTCTCTCATATACATGTTGACAAACTACTGGAGGTATTTAGTCCCTACCTGCTTGTATTTTGGGAGTTACGAGAATATCGTATCACCTAATTTTGCTGTAAGTGTTGTCTGTGGGGTTTTGGTTTTGATATCTCGTTGCTCATTTTGATGTGGCGATTTTAGATTAAAAATCTGTGCTACTGTTGTTATCATTTCCTCAGAACCCGGTTTTCCAGATTTGAAATCTCTCTATATGTCATCTTTTTGACTGTCTGACCTGCATTTTGCTTCTAGAAATAGTTCTATTTTGTTGTTTTTCAGCCCTGCTTGGTTAGTCTTTATAGTTTATGGTCGGCTAGTCATACTTTTACTCTTGTCAAAGCTCTTCTATTTCTTTAAGCATGTTAAACATAGTTATTTTATGTTCTGTGTGATAATTCCAGTATTTGAAGCTGGATGGTTATTTCTGCTGCTTCTTACTCATGGTACCTTGTTTCCTTTTGTGCTTAGTGATTTTTGATGGAGCTGCCCATTTGCCTTGGAAATTTACGTGTGGGGATGTTTCATGGCCTGGGCTGAAGATGGGGCATGGACAATATATAGTAGCATTCGGTGTCCTTGTTTTCTTGTTCATTTTTAACATAGAAGGCATTACGCCATGCCTGTTTATCTGCCACATACTTTTTGTCACCAAAATGCACTAGTATATCATAATGCTGCCACTGACATGGTTGTAATGAATCGCCCTTTGCCTTGTTCTCTGGGGACTGTAGGTGTATCCGGAGTTTGAAGATCAGAGAGCTTGTCTGCCATCAGGATCTTTTCTTACTTGCTCCTCAGACAACACCATCCGCTTTTGGAACATGGATAGCAGCCCTGACTCTCACTGGCAGAAAAATATCTTCAGTAATGTGAGTGGCTCATTTATGAACCATATTTTAGGAGGAACTGAGACATACTTTAAGTAGGATATAGGGACAAGAGGGGGTCTTATGGACCTTGGTGTTAAGTTTCACTGAGGGCAAGAAGCAGGAAGCAAGACCGGTCACACACTGTCGCCCTCTCTCTTGTCTCTCACTCTCTCCCTCTTTTTCTTTCTGAGGTAGTGTGGTCTGTCCTCTTTGCTTCTCTCTGCCCATCAGCTCCTGCTTTCTAGGTGTGTCAACACAGCTACTCCAGGCAACCTGACATATTCAGTAGAAATGAAATTGTTCCCCAGGTCTTGAGTCAGAACTCTCTGGAAGAACACCTGACAGACCAAATCAGGGAGGGGCTTCCCCTGTCTAGCTAACTGCCACACAGTGAAGCCTTGGGTGAGGGTGCTGGCAGCGTCCCAAAGAGAGCCATGATGTTGGGAGGGCTGAAGAAATGGTTGATATTGCTAGGTCAGTGAGGGAGCTTCTCTTAGGAGCTGAGATCTGATTCATGCATTCATTTATTCTGCAGATGCTTAGTAAGATCTATGCTAGGTGCTATGCTGCATGCTGGGGACACATCAGTGACTAAGACCCTCCTTCTGCCCTTGTGGCTCCCACAGTCTAGAAGGGAGAGGCACCAATAACTGCACAAATTATGGTATAATCATAAGCATGATAAGCATGGAAATTGTGAAGTGTTAGTAGGATATGTAACAGTGTCATCTGATTTTATCTGTAGTGTGAGGGGCAGTTTCCTGGAGGAGGAGACAACTGAGCTGAGATGTGGAGGATAGGGATGAGCAAAGAGGGGAGGGGAGAGTGTCCTACACCAAGGGAATAGCCTGTGCAAAGGCCCTGAGGTGAGAAAGAGTTTGGGCAGTTGGAAAACCTGAGCAGTCACTGTGGCTGGAACAAAACAGGCCCTTAATGCAGGCTGTGTGTAGCAGGTGCCCTTTTACTCCCCTCACCACCCCCCCCACCCAGTACTACCACCTTCTCTTCTGCACCTGTGTGATATACATGTTATATTTGTCTGCATACAATAGAAAAACCCAAAGCCAAGAGGAAAAGTTTGGTTTTCTGACTCATAAAAATAGTCTGGAGGTCACCAGTCCAGGCTGTTTTGGCAGCTGCAGGAAGCCCTTAGAGACCCGAGAGCCTTTAGCTGTCCACACTGCCATTTTGGAGTCATCCTTGTCCTTGTCATCCAGTATGGCTGCCGGAGCTCCAGGCAGCAGGATGGAGGAAAAGGAAGCAGAGTGTTCTCACTTGTTTTATATCTCATTGACCAGAATGTATCCACAGAGCCTCACCCAGCTGCCAGGGGGACTAGGAAACAGTCACTCTGAGTAGCGAAGGTCAGATTTGGAGTTCTGGAGCTAATGAAGGACAGGAGGCCGGCTGTGGGGAGACAGGACTGCAGAGGTGCTTTGGCACTTCCAGAGCACTGACCTCAGCCCTCTCCCTCCGCAGACCCTGCTGAAGGTAGTGTACGTAGAGAATGACATCCAGCACCTGCAGGACACGTCGCACTTCCCAGACCGGGGGGGTGAGAACGGGACGCCTGTGGACGTGAAAGCTGGGGTGCGGGTCATGCAGGTCAGTCCTGATGGCCAGCACTTGGCTTCAGGCGACCGAAGTGGAAATCTGAGGCAAGTGAGCCCTGGAGGGTGATTAGCAGACACTTCCCAGCTCAGGCTTGGATACTCGGTGGTGTGAAGGAGCCCTGGCCTCGCCACCCCCACCGGCCCCCTGGGAATGAGGGACTGTGACTAGCAAGCTGGAAAGCAGCTGTCCCTGATGACTTTAAGCTAAGAAGCATCTTCCGGAGGGCTGACATAGGGCAGCCACGGGGACCTCCGCAGCTGGGGCTTGTGAACTGTGCCCGTGTTGTAGACAGGCACACATGTGTGACCTTAGGGTAGGGGGACAGTTCCGGACAGAGAGGATGCCAGCTGGAGCGTGGGGGGTCCTGGTGGCATGGGGGGGGGGGGCAGGAGGATGGGACATATGAGGGCTCAGGCTGTTTTCCCACACTGTAGAGGTTTTTTAAGATGTCACCGGCCCAATAGGCGCTGACAGAATACGAACCCCATCACGAGGTTTAAGTTGACGAATGACAGCTGTGACCACTTGGGTGCTGAGACTGGAGGAGTGAAAGGGATAGGGAGCCGGAGAGCAGGTGCTCCATGAAGGGGCAGCCACCGTGTGGCAGCAGGAGTGCAGGCTGCATTGTCACATGTTCCCATCGTCCAAGTAGAGCAAAGGGCTGAGTTTTCTCTGTGAAATTCTATGATTTTTATTTTTATTTTTTAATTTTTTTTTCAACGTTTATTTATTTTTGGGACAGAGAGAGACAGAGCATGAACGGGGGAGGGGCAGAGAGAGAGGGAGACACAGAATCGGAAACAGGCTCCAGGCTCTGAGCCATCAGCCCAGAGCCTGACGCAGGGCTCGAACTCACGGACCGCAAGATCGTGACCTGGCTGAAGTCGGACGCTTAACCGACTGCGCCACCCAGGCGCCCCGTGAAATTCTATGATTTTTAAATGCTGGCAACTGTTTGGACACCAATCACCGTGTGAGGCAAACCGAATGTGTCCGTGGGCCGTTCACACTGACTGTGCTCTGCTGTGAATGGTGAAAACAGCAGCGAGCCAACGTGGATGTAGCACTCTTCCCTGGCTGGCCACTGGCTTGACACTTACTCCTTTCACCCACCCTCTGGTGGAAACGCTGCTCTTAGCAGCTGGTTTCTAGATGGGTTAACTGAGGCAGGAGAGGCCAGTGGCTAAGCTAAGATGACAGGTAGAGTGAAGGACGTGGAGTGACTGTCTCTTATGTCATCCTAGAGGGCGTGTTGTTTGGTTTCAGTTGGAGAGAATGAGGAAAGTTTAGATTTGAGAGTCTTTAAGAATGAGAGATAGGAATCAAATGTCCCATACCTATAGGTCCTATCCTTGAGTATGACCTCTGACCCCTGGCCCCTGCCCCACCCCCAGGAATCACCTCTGATATAGCCCTGTCCTAACCCCTGTTCTCCCAGAGGACTGTCCTAGTCCTGGCCCATGGAACCATAAGGGGCTGGTGCTGCTTAGGTGGTCCAGGCTTGGCACTGCTACCTTTAAGATAGCTGGTTTCTAGAGGAGAAGAATGATTGGGCATCTAGATTAGCTGGCCGGGGCAGGAATTTCCCACATTGCCTGGCGGGCTGCTCTGACCTTTTCTACCAGTGGCAGAACACCTAGCACTGAGGGGTGGGGGCTCCGGGCAGGGTACAGCAGACAGCGTATGTCTCCCAGGATCCACGAGCTACATTTCATGGACGAGCTGGTCAAAGTGGAGGCCCATGATGCTGAGGTGCTGTGCCTGGAGTACTCCAAGCCTGAGACAGGTAAACCTGTGTGGGGTGAGGGGCAGGTAGGGGGAAAGCAGGAGAGCATTCCCCCCCTGGCCGAGCCACAGAAATGAGTGGTTGATGTCTCGTGGGGCTGTGAGTGACAGCTAGAAGTCCTGTGTGTAGTAAGCCCTGTCACTGGGCCCTGAGACCAGGGTAGCCAGGACTCTAGAATGCAAGACTCGGGCAGGCAAGACTGGGCTTGACTTGCTTACCCTGGTCCCCAGTGCTCTGAATAGCTTTGAGTTGAAAGAGGTGAGTGTTGAACGAGAGAAAGTATGAATGAGCTCATCCTCTGCTGGAAAAAAGAGAGCAACAGTTATATTATATATCACAGATCAACCATATTATTTTGAAAAAGTTCAATGCCTACAGAAAAATTGCAAGAGTATTAGAATGAATACCCATATTCTTTTCACCCAGATTCCTCAGGGTTTTTTCTTTTAAATTCTATCTGACCCTATGACTGTATATATGACTTTACCTGTTTCCCCATCTCCACTTCTTTTTTTTTTTTTTTTTAATTTTTTTTTAACATTTATTTATTTTTGAGACAGAGGGAGACAGAGCATGAATGGGGGAGGGTCAGAGAGAGGGAGACACAGAATCTGAAACAGGCTCCAGGCTCCGAGCTGTCAGCACAGAGCCCGACGCGGGGCTCGAACTCCCGGACCGCGAGATCATGACCTGAGCCGAAGTCGGCCGCTCAACCGACTGAGCCACCCAGGCGCCCCACCCCATCTCCACTTCTATCTCTGTGTTTATGCACATGTGTGTACCTATGCACACAGACATAAAGTATTCTCACATACATTTCTTTGGCTAACCTGTTTGAGAGTAAGTTGAGGGCATGATCTTTCACTCTTCGATGTGTCTGTGAGCATTTCTTAGGAATGAGGATATCCATTTACAGGACCATGTGCACTTATCAAATATGGAGGTTTCAGGGCACCCAGGTGACTCAGTCGATTAAACATCGGACTCTTGATTTCGGCTTAGGTCATGATCTCACAGTTCATGAGTTCAAGCCCCACATCAGGCCCTATGCTGACAGCATGGAGCTTGCTTGGGATTCTCTCTCTCTTGCTCGCTGTCTGCCCCTCCCCTGTTTGTGTTCTCTCACTCTCTCAAAATAAATAAATAAACTTAAAAAAAAAAATGGGAGGTTTCACTTTATATGGTTCTGTTATCTCCTCCGTGGTCCTTATTCCCAGTTTGCTGGCTGTCCCAATATTGTCCTTCGTAGCACCTTTGTTTTTCCAGTCCAGGTTCACAATTTAGTTTTCATAGCTCTTTTGTCACCTTTTTTTCTGGAACATTTCCACAGCCTTACTTTGTCTTTGTGATTTGACTTTCTGCAGAGTATAGGCCATTTTACAGAATTTCCTTCAGTTTGGGTTTGTCTGTTTTCCCCATGATTTGATTCTGCTGATACATTTTTGGCAGGAATAGAACATTTTGGCAGGAATAGATATGTTAGCAATCTTTCCCATACTCTTTTCTCCTTATTTGTTTCCCTGCACCCTCTGTCCCACCAGTTTTTCTTTTCTTTTCTTCTCTTTTTTTTAAGTTTATTTATTTTGAGAGAGAGAGAAAGAGAGAGAGAGCAAGCAAGCAGGGTAGGGGCAGAGAGAGAGAACCCCAAGCAGGCTCTGCACTGTCAGTGCACAGCCTGACACGGGACTCAAAGTCAGGAACCATGAGATCATGACCTGAGCCGAAGTCGGATGCTTTACTGTCTAAGTCACCCAGGCACCACCCACCAGTTTTTCTTCAAATCTCTTTTCATTCAGTACATCCTTCATGAACTCCCCTCCACCTCAAGTCACGTGTTAGCCCTTAGACATGCGAGGCGACCAGGGTTGGCACTGTCTGAGGGGGCCAGCAGGGAAGACCCATTGGCAGAAGGAAGTGTGGCAGCGGGTTGTCAGTAGGGCCTGGACGAGACCCAGGTAGCCGGAGTTCAGAGAGTGAAGGAGCAGTGTTCTGGGGAGGCTGAGAAGTTGGCTGGGCTTCACATGGCAGCCAAAGAGTTGGCCTTGGCAGGAAGGAGTGCTGGGCTCTGCTGGGATGTCTGCTATGGGCACAGGTGGCAGAGCACCCATGTACATCAAGATTCATCCCCCTGAACTGGGCATGGGATGTGAAGTGCCAAGGTTTGAGGGGCTCTGGGGAGAGACTGCAGAGCTGGGGGAATGGCCCCTTGTGGGCTTTGAGGCCAGGTAGCTGCAGTCACAGCACCAAAGACCCCTTCTTCGAGGCCTGGAAAGCTCAGTCACATTGTTCTCTGGGAGGCCAAGGCATCAGGCAGCCTCCTGAGAACCCAGTGCCACCCTGTCCACTCACAGGACTGACCTTGCTGGCCTCAGCCAGTCGGGACCGACTGATCCACGTGCTGAATGTGGAGAAGAACTACAACCTGGAGCAGACCCTGGACGACCACTCCTCCTCCATCACCGCCATCAAGTTTGCTGGTGAGTCCTTTCCTTCCTGCTTCGCCCTCCTTGGTTGGTGCACCCCTTTGGCTACACGTAATAACAAGACTCCCTTTAGTTTGAACAAAAAAGGGAAAAGCAAGCTCTGGATTCAGGCCCAGCTGGATCCAAAGGTTGATTTATTCTATTATTTTTTTTTTTAATCATCAAGACTCCCTTTGTCAGCTACACCTTTCTGTGGTGGGCAGCATCTGGGTGTCACTGTGCCACTCGAAGGAGATTTCCCCTCTTCCTATCAATTTTGGCAGAAATTGGGAGCTGAATTCCCTTGTGCAGGCTTGAGGCACCTGCCCTTTTCAGAACAGTTATCGGTGCCAGGGCTTTGGGGTGTTTTCTTGGGCCAGGTCTGACTCACGTGCCCCCAGCCCACACCTGCCTCCACCCCTGATCCAGAAGGACTGGCATTAGGTGAACGCCATTCCCCAAAAAGAAATCGGGGTGCCAATCCTGTGAGAGGACCGCGGGATGGGCACTGGTGACTTTGGCAGAAAAATAGGTGACTGCAAAGGTTGCCGGGAGCTAATTCTGTGCTGGGGAGGATCCTTGCACTGCAGTTAGTCCATTCCTTACCTCGTTTACAGCGAGAGTCACACAGCAGTAGGTGCAGGCTTAGGATCTTGCCTTGGGCTGCCCTCCAAAGTGCATACTCAGCCAGGAAATCAAAGGGATTCCCTTTAGACTCAAAAGATTCAGTATGAAGGTTTGGCCCTAAGGAATTCCAAGGGGAGAGGAGGCAGGTCCTATGAGATTTAATTGATCAGAACCCAAGAGCATATTCAAAACTATATTCCAGAAGAATCTACTCATGAAGAGAATACATCTATGTACTCATTCCAAGTTCTTGACTACGAAGAGTTTTTTTTTTTTTACATATAATCTTGTGACTGAGAATGTATTAATGTCCCTTGATCCTCCCCGCTTTCTGCCCTACCTCTCCGTAGCCAAAACAAGTTAACAATGGACAAAAACAAGTTAACAATGTTTGACGTGTCTTGATGAAGACAACCAAAGCTGATCAGCTAAAACTTTCAGACATCTTTAAAAACCTGTTCATTCCATGGGATAGAGTTAGAATAAATCAGCAAGTCTAGCAGCTTGGCCAGCAGTGACATCAACTTTCACGAATGGTCTAGATCCAAGAGAGGTGATGACTGGCCAAGGGGTGGCCCAGGAGTTGGTCCTTAAGGCCATCTCCTGAAAGGTGTGGGCTTTCATTAGAACCCCCAGCCAGTCTGAGAGGATGTAACTCCTAACCCCAGTTCCTGAGTGCCCTTCTGTGGCTGAGCTATGCTCAAAACGCTGATAATTTTAGTATAAACTGGGCTCCAGCCAGTCGAAATCTGACTGAAACTGCCCTGCTAAGGTAAGATTCAGTCTTTAACAGTTTTATCTGAAAAATATCCAAACAAATGAATACAATACAGATAGTTTACAGAACAGTACAATGAACTTCCACATCAAGGTACTTAATCAGTACATATGAACTAGAACAGACACACCCATTGTTTATAACCAGTGACCTGTAGCCTAACAGTGCTAGGTCCGTGGACTCCCCACCCCAGGTTAAGAAGCAGAACATTACCAGTAACTTACAGGTCTCTTTGGGTCCCTCCCAGGTTACACTTCCTCCCCAACACAGGGCTCACTGCCTTCTGTGAGCCAGTGACTCCCGCTTGAGTAACATCGTAACTTGTGCATCAGGCCTGAGCTCTTTCAAATGTCCTGCAGTGAAGCAAGGACACTGTGCTTAGATCTGTGCTTAGCAAGGCTCTAAGTGTTTTGTATCTGTTCTGTCTTTATATTCCCACCACAACTCTAAGGTATTTGTGCTGTTATTATTCTAATTCTATAAAGAAAGAAGAAAAGCAAGGATATTTATAGTGCTTACTGGGTGGCAGCCACTGTTCCACAGGCTTCACACAACTTTGTGGGGGCAAGGGCTGTCATAGGCCTGTTGTACAGACAGGAAATAGGCATGGAAAGGAAGCCCGGGTTTGGAGCACAGTGTTTAGCCAGAGAATGCCTGGGTCTAATACTGGCCCTGTCCGGACTCTCTGTGCTCTGGAACAAGGACTGTGTGACTCTAAGCCCCTGGGTTCACATTTGTACAGTGGGGTGGCTAGTGAGCCATCAGAAGGGGATGCGCGATGCGCATGTGGCAATGGGGCCTGGCCTGACATACATGTGGGTGTTCTGATTGTTCATGGTGGCATGGGCCTCCCAACCCTCTGCGTGTCTCCACTTGCTCCCCGCTTTGGTCCCGCCTCCACACTGCTGCCCAAATCACCTTTCCAAATCCCAAATCAGACGTGGTGCCCCTTCCGTGTCTCTGACATGTTTCCCTGTCTGCCCTTGCTCTGCAGAGACCTGCCAGGCCACTGCTCCACCTGTACCCCCTCATACACACAGCTCACGTCTTGGAGCCCTACCTGCACCCAGCACCCACTCTCCTCCTCCGGGAATCCGGAGTTCCCTTGCAGTGAGTTCCCTGGCTAGGATCCCTGGCCCCAGTCAGACTCAGCAGGGGCCCAGCCTTGCCTAATGCACTACCTCCTCCTCCTCCAGGCAATAGAGACATCCAGATGATCAGCTGTGGGGCTGACAAGAGCATCTACTTTCGCAGTGCCCAGCAGGTAGAGTGGGTTGGCCTCCTTGAGGGCTGGGGTGGGAAACTTGTCAGGGGTGTCCTCTGAAGGCCCTGCCTGCCCTGCCAGTCCTCAGATGGACTACACTTTGTCCGTACCCACCACGTGGCAGAGAAGACCACCTTGTATGACATGGACATCGACATCACCCAAAAGTATGTGGCCGTGGCCTGCCAGGACCGCAATGTGAGGTGAGAAGCTGGGCTCTTAGCCCAGCCTGGTTTCTGAGTAGGACCTGTGTAAGACCTGGTTGGTTCTTTGTCTGCTTATGATCTCCCTGCTCTCTTCCCCCTCCTCATCTGGACCCTAAAGAGCTGGGTTGGGTAGAGGGACCCAGCAAGTGTTTCTTAGGAACTGGGCTCACCCGGGCCCAGCCTCCGGGTCAGCAGAAGGTTCCTGCTGGCTCTCCAGAAGCCCATGTGGGGTGACTAGGAGGCGCTGATGTGGTTCATAAATTCATTCATTCGCCTACATTCCCTGAGCACCTGTCTGGGAGGGTAGTGCAGGAGACACAGCAGTGAGCAGGGCAGCCCCAGGCCCTGCCTTCATGGAGCTCACAGTCCAAGGGAGGAGAGGTGGACACCTCACTAGACAGTGACACCAGGGAGCGGTCAGGGCTAGGGGAGCCCAGTGGATCTGGGGGACCCTGGGGAAACCCCTGATCCTACCTGGGGATCAAGCAGGGCTTGATGGAAAGAACATCTGAACTGAGACTGGGAAGGATGTGGAGGAGTGAGCCAGGGGAGGGGAGAGAGGGATTGTGCAGAGGGGAGAGCATGTGCAAAAAGGTTCTCCACCCTTTCACTTGCTCATTCAGATTGAGTGCCAGCACTCCGCTTGCTCTGTAGTGGGGAAGACAGATGTTAACAGACATTAACTCAACGGATACCCCAATACATAACTTCCCTGACCTCAGCCTGAGAGGACATCTCATTTTCTGAGATGGTATTTCAGTCCAGGCATCAGATGGGAGATAAGAGGTGGCAAGGGGCCTCCAGGAGAGAGGAAGATGGTAGGTAAGGCTAGGACCAGAATGCAAGAGGGGGCAGGTGGGCAGGGCCACCACTGGCCACATTATGCTCCCACCTCTCCAGAGTCTACAACACCGTGAATGGGAAGCAGAAGAAGTGCTACAAGGGCTCCCAGGGTGACGAAGGGTCCCTGCTAAAGGTGAGTAGCTGGGGCCCCTGGCGTGAAAACCACACACATCCCCCCTGTCTGTCAGCTGCCCTTGTGGGCCACCCAAGACATGTGTCATCCTGGGTACCTGATCAAAGGATCACAGGCTGGCACCCACTCTGGCCTAGCTGACCAGGGTTGCCTGGGAACTGGGGGTATCACAGACTGTTTTACCTTTATTTACTGAGCCCTTTTCCCAAGTGGGGACATTTAAGTGGCTTCTGTTTTCAGTGGCCACGGTGTGGTGGGAACAACCAAAGACCTGGGCTCCCTTATCAGACTTGCTCCCTGCTGTGTTATCAGGACAAGACTGGGGGACCTTCTCAGAGCCTCTGAAGTAAGGGGGTTGTGTTGAGTTCAGGCTTTAAGGTGAGACTCTCAGCTCTGCCTCAGGCTATGACCTGGGCACGTGTCATCTCCTCTGGAGCCTGTCTCATCGCCTGTAAAATGCAGCTAGAAAGAGCCCCTATCATAGGGTTGTTCTCTGGAAGAAATCAGTTTGCACACGCAGAGTGTTTAGCACAGAGCCTGGGTGGTAACTTTTTCACCCATGAAATGGAGGCAGGAGTTCTTATCCTAAGCAGGGTGTATGTCCTGAGGGCACCTGGGACGAGTCAGCGTACCAGGCATCCCGCATGAGAGGGTCCTCCGTCAGCGGAGGCTGTGACATTTGACCCAGGCCTCGCCATAGTGAAGAAGCAGGCAGCCTAACTGTCATGTGGGTCCTCTTCTCGGCAGGTCCACGTGGACCCCTCAGGCACCTTCTTGGCCACTAGCTGCTCTGACAAAAGCATCTCGGTGATTGACTTTTACTCGGGCGAGTGCATTGCCAAGATGTTTGGCCATTCAGGTGGGTGTGCCTCCCTACGTGGGACACCTCCCCATGCGTCCCCACACGGCCTTGTGACTCAGAAGGCCTGCGTGGCTTCTTTGCTCTGCTTTCAGAAATCGTAACTGGCATGAAGTTCACCTATGACTGTCGTCACTTGATCACAGTATCTGGAGACAGGTGGGAAAGGCCTGGAGACTGCCCTTGGCTGGCCTCCCCCTGGGAGTGGGCAGGACCTGTACTGTGGGGAGTGCAGGGGCTCAGACAGTGGGAGCACCGTGCTCCTGGCCTGCCTGTGCAGTGTTCCGCCGAGGGTTCCAGCTTACTGCTCTCTCCTTTGACAGCATGTACCTGGGTGTCACACCCAGCCCTGAGTTCAAACCCCAGATCTGCCACTTAATTTCCTTGTGACCTTGAGAACCTTGAGCAGGTCATTTCCCATCTGTTGTTTTTTTTCTCTCTCTTTTTAATGTTTATTTTTTGAGAGAGAGAGAGAGACAGAGTGTAAGTGGGAGAGGAGCAGAGAGAGAGGGAGACACAGAATCTGAAACAGGCTCCAGGCTTCAAGCTGTCAGCATAGAGCCTGACGTGGGGCTCGAACTCAGGACCAGCGGGATCATGACCTAGGCCGAAGTCAGACGCCCAACCGACTGAGCCACCCAGGTGCCCCAGGTCATTTCCCATCTTAAGCCTCAGTTTGCTCCACCAACTACCTCAAAAAATTGTACAGTGAGAATCAAATGGGGATATAAACTCCTTAGCTCATGGTTGGTGGCCAAGGAAGTCCCTTTTGTCTCTCCCTTCAGTTTATTTCAGTCCTTCTCCAGCCCCCTTCCTTGAGTCTTGAGGTCTTCAGAACAGGTCATGGTTTGGTGGAATGGTCTGGACCTGCTCAGGGTGTAGACCTGACATGGCCTGGAACCCCTGCACTAAGCTGGTGGGGTGTGTTTTCTGGGAGGGGCCAGGGAATTGGAGTCTTGGCTATGGTAACGTAGGTGGCTTCCAGGGTCAGATGGCTTCCGTGTTCACTATTCCCCCTCCTTCCACATCTCTCTTCGGCCTCTGCAGCTGTGTGTTCATCTGGCACCTGGGCCCAGAGATCACTAACTGCATGAAGCAGCACTTGCTGGAGATCGACCACCGGGAGCAGCAACAGCAGAACATGAGGGACGGGAAGTGGAGGAGCCAGCCCAGGTCCTGGCAGTGATCCGACCGTCCCCCACTTGTCTGTCTGCTAGAGGAATGTCTTCCTGCCCTGGGCCCCGTGAGGAGTGAGGCTGAAGACATAGCCATGGCCAGCACAGCCGTAGGCCCTGCCCTTTGTGCACCCGTGGCCGAACTGGGGAGACAGACTTTGAATAGAAAGTTATGGTAGTACATGTGAGAAGGGGCTTGAAGTGGAAGAGTGAAGTGCCTGGAGAGCCTGTGAGCACTGCGATGGAGGGAAGCTCAGGGGACTTTGAGGACCAGAGGAGGCAGAGGAGGCCCCTGAGCCAGTGTGCAGTGGGGAGGGACGTAGTTGGGGAAGGCTCCAGTGGAACTGAAGTGTCTTTTTGTTCTTTAAAGCCTTCATGCTGCAAGACCAGTTTTATTTGGAGTGAATTCATGTTCTAACTTTTGGTTGGGGGTTTAGTTTGGAGGTCTCAGCTGAGTGGGAGATTTGAGGGTTTATTCTCTCTTCTGCCTCTAGCGCTGTCCTTGTCTTTCTCTGTCTTGAGGCTTTGTCATTGCCTCCCAAAGCGACCAGGCCTTAACATGAGCTTCCTGTCCTACAGTGGTATTGGAGGTATTGTAGACCTAGGTACCAAGCGAATGAGCAGCTCCCTTTGGCTCCAGGTTTTGAGGCTTACACCCTGTCCTGAGTGCCCTCCGGTGCCTATCTCATGTCATGTGTGTTTTAGGCTCCTGTGCTCCAAAGGAGATGAAACCTCATTGCTACTCCTACACACACTTCCCAGAAGAGAACCCAGCAGCTTAGTACTCAAGCCCCACTATCTGCTGTGCTTTCTGTCCCATTGCTGTGACTCTGAGAGAGTTTATCTTATTTTTTGAGCCCAGCCTTGTTACATTTCATTCATTGTGGTGATGTTTCCAGCAGAGCGGGTGTGGCAGGTGAGACCTCCCAGCATCATCTTGACAAGGAGTCAGTAATGAGTTCATATGGAAGCTAGCACAGGGCCCAGCCTGAGGCAGATCCCTGTCCCTCCCACCACCACCCCATTTACCTATTTCTCTCCTTGTTGTCCTCATTTCTGGCTTCAGGCAGGAGACCTATGCATCCGTGCCCAGCGAGATTTGCTCCTTAAGCCCTGGAGAGCAGACGGAGGATGAGCTGGAGGAAGAGTGCGAACCGGAAGAGTTGCTGAAGACGCCATCCAAAGAGAGCTTGGACCCAGGTTGGGAAGGGGGCCCATCCAGAGGGGCCCTATTTTGAACTTGCAGCGTAGGGATCACTGCTGGGTTTCGCCCACTACTTGGTTTCCAGGGCCTGGAGGCGAAGCTCAATGATCCTATTAGTCAGTACTCTCACAGTGTAATAGCAACTGGACTCTCATTGGCTTCAGCTGGGAAGAGAATTTATTGGGTCATGGACCTGAAAATTGGAGTATTGGCTTTGGGCAATAGCTGGATTCCAGTCACCAGGTGATGTTAAAGAAACAGATTTTTCTCCGTCTTTTGGCTCTGCTTTTCTCCTATGTTGTCTTTGCTCTCAGGCAGACTCTGCCTCTCCTGGGGGCAAAGATTCCCCCAGCAGTGCTAGGTGATAAAACTCTATATAGAGAAGAGAGCACCTCTTTCCCAGTAGCTGAAGCAAAATCCTGAGGTTGTAAGTCGTGTTTCTGGTGTGAGTCCTGGTGTGCTTCTGAGTCAGTTGCCGTGATTGGCCAGGCCGGAGTCATGTGGTCATCCCTGAGGGCAGAGGTTTGACTCAGCTCCACTTGAGCCACCTGTCCAAAAAGGGTGGGTGGGGGTGTAAGGGCTGTCCCAGGGGAAAAACGGTGCTGTTGACCATAAGACATCAGATTCTGTTGTTCAGGTGAAAGGAGACTAGTAGCTCGATGACTTCAAAGCAGGCCAGACTTCCTCTAAATTTCTGCCCTTCCGCATATCACCTTGGCTTAGGCCCTCATGGTTGCAAGATGGCTGCTTAAGTTGCAGGCATCACAGGCCTCATAGCACACGGCAGTCCCTCCTACAGTCTCCTCTAGAGAGGAAACTTGCCCAGAAGCCCCCAGCAGGCTTCTCTCGGGTCCCATTGGCCATGGTTGCTCCAGCTAAGAGAGGCCGGGTGCTGTCAGTGTGGGGCAGGGGCCTCTGCCAGCGGGGGAGAGCAGGCAGTGGCTGACTAGACAGCTGACTGATAGGCAACAGTAATGTAAGAATTCAGCCTTGGAAAAAAGGGTAAGCAAATCTTCTTTGTTGCCACCCTCACAACCCAATCCCATGTCCTCTGCAGGGTGGCTGTTTTATGTTTGGTATGAATCCTTATAGGCCTCTTTCTGAACATTAATGTACGTATGTACACAGCCATCAGAACACATCGTATTTATGTACATAAGTTGTATTCTACTGTAGACACCATTCTGTATCTTTTCCCTCTCAAAATTATCAACCTGTGTGTTGGTGGATACAAAACAGAGGCCTCCCTCTTTTAACCAGCAGGATAATAGGATATTTTTAAAATGATATTCGCCTCTGGATGGACATTTAGGGTTTAGACTATACACCATTGCAAGTGATGCCATGCTGACCACTCCAAGGCCTACTCCTTGGGCATGTGTGAGTGTTTCTCCAGGACAGAGGCAAGGGCTGGCACTGCTGGGCCCTGGGGTTAGCACGTTTTTTATTTTAAGAGAACCCCAAAGGCCCTCCAAATCCAGCAGTCAGTGTTAAGCCATTCATTCTCCCACACTTTTGCCAATACTTGATACTATGAAGCTTTTTAGTTTGAGCTAGTCATGGGTAAAACATTGTGTGAATTTGCATTTTCCTGACAATTAGTTAAGTTTGAGCATCTTTTGGTATGTCTGTGTTTCTTATAGACATGTGTCTTTGGAGAATTGCCTGTTTTTATATATGTTGCCTGTTTATCTATTGGGTTATTTATTCTCTTTTCATGGATTCCACATGTCTCTCCAGACCCTCGGTGTCTGCTGACCAATGGCAAGCTGCCACTCTGGGCAAAGCGGCTGGTGAGTCTGCCCGGAGACCGGGACACCCAGGGCTGACAAAGCAGGGGTGCTCTCCTTCATGCTCTTCATTCTTCTGGGAGCCCGTTTCCCTTTCTGGGTCTGTCCTTTCCATGTAGAACCCCATCATCCTTGCAGTCTCAGCTTAGGCAGCCCTTCATTCCTATAACATACATAGTGAACACCTACCCTGTGCCAGGCTTATTCTGACCATTAGATACAGCAGTGAGCAAGGCAGACAAAATGTCGGTCTTCATGGGCTCATTTTCTAGTGTGGAAGATGGACAGTATCCACATTAAACAGGTAAGTTGTATAGTATTTGGGAAGCCGATAAGGTCTGTGGAGGAAAAAAAGAGAGAATCTCAGGAAAATAACAAGTGTTGGGGGGAAAGCGCAATAATTTTAGCATAAACAGAAAAGGCCTCACTGAGAAGATGCTATTTGAATAGAGTTGAAGCAAGGGAGAAATGCAGATCCTGGGGAAGAATGTTCCAGGCAGAGAGAATAGTATGCAGGACAAAGGCCATGCGGCAGGATTGTGCTTCGCATGTTCAAGGAAGTACAGGGAGGCCCAGCTGCCAGGGTTGAGGGTGAATGAGGGGCAGAGAGTGGGGAGAGGGGCTCAGAGAGGTAATGGGGGCCAGATGGTATGACACTATGTGGGCTGCGGTGCGTTCCCTAAACATTCCTTATTGTCCTCCCCACTTATTTCTCCCCTCCCTGGCACTGAGTGAGATGGAGACAAAGGAGGGCTCTGAGTTGAGGAAGGCCATGACCTAGTGCAAGTGTGAACATGAGGGGCAAGTGGGGGACCGGGAGGGGACTGTTGGGATAATCCAGACAGAGGAGGTTGGAGACTGGAACAGGGGGAAGAAACGGTTGGATTCTGGATGGATGTTGAAGGTGCAACCAAATGACTGGGTGTGAGAGAAAGAAAGGGACCAAGATGATTGAATGGCTGATTGTTTACTTGGGGGAGGGGCAGGCTAGGAGCTGGTGGGTTAGAAGCAGGCAGCAGAATCCTACAGCCTAGGTTGGATGATTTATTTCAGGAATAATGCCAGTCCTCAGATTAAAACCTATTAGCTCCTCAGGGAAGTCCTCCCTGCCTTCCCGTCCCCTGCAGACCAGGTCTGTCAAGACCCCAGGCTTCCCCTTAATCAGTGAATACTACAAGTAGGGTTACATTCAACAAATATTCATAGCACACTTATTCTGCACAGGCTCTAAGTCTTTTATATGTATTATCTATTTAGTCCCCTTTGAAGTGTAGGAGCTCTTCATATTACTATTTCACAGATGGAGAAACTGAGGCCCAAAGAGGTTAAGTAACTTATCCAGGGTTACACAGATGGGAAGTACAAGACATGGGCAGGCTGGCTCCAGAGCCTGAGTTCTCAAACACCCACCCTCCGCTGTCTCTCAAGCTATAATCTTATTTGGAGGCAGTGCTGGGCAGGACCAGTGGGGAGAAATGGCCACATCGGGGATGTGTTCGGATGGCAGAGCTGACAGAATCTGCTGAAGAAATACAATGTGGAGGGGAACCTGGGTGGCTCAGTCGTTTAAGTGTCCAACTCTTGATTTCAGCTCAGGTCATGATCTCAAGTTTCATGAGTTCGAGCCCCATGTTAAGCTCTGTGCTGACAGCTTGGAGCCTGCTTGGAATTCTTTTCTCCCTCTCTCTCTGCCCTTCCCTCGCTTGCTCTCTCTCAAAATAAATAAACATTAAAAAACAATACAATGTGGATTATGAGGGACAACATAAGAATGAAAGATGAGCTCAAGGTTTGGGGCCTGAGCAGCAGAATAACTGAGACAGGAAAGGCTTCAGGAGGAGCCGATCTGGGGGGAAGATCAGGAGTTGTTTTCAACATGTTCACTTTGAAATATCACTAGGAATCCATACAGATGTAGAGCAGTTGCCTATGTATTTCTGAAATTTAACAGAGAGCTTCAGGCTGGAGATGTTTATCTGGAAGTTGTTGCTGAGTGGTGTTTAAAGCCTAGAGACTGAGGGGCACCTGGGTGGCTCAGTTGGTTGAGTGTCTGACTTCGGCTCAGGTCATGATTTCACAGCTCGTGAGTTCGAGCCCGTCAGGCTCTGTGCTGACATCTCAGAGCCTGAAGCCTGCTTTGAATTCTGTGTCTCCCTCTCTCTCTCTCTCTCTGCCCCTCCCTGCTCACACTCTGTGTCTCTCTCTCAAAAATAAAAATAAAACATTAAAAAAAAAAAAGCTGGATGCAGACTGGATGGAGTCCATGCGGTGTCCCTGGTCCCCCATTGGAGTTGGTGAGCTCTTGGCTAGCTGCCTGACCATCCCCTGTCACCCTCAGCTAGGAGACGATGATGTGGCAGATGGCTCAGCCTTCCATGCCAAGCGCAGCTACAAACCACATGGCCGCTGGGCGGAGCGGGCTGACCAGGAGCCCCTCAAGACCATCCTGGATGCCCGGAACCTGGATTGCTACTTTACCCCCATGAAGCCCGAGAGCCTGGAGGACTCTATTCTGGATACAGTGGAGCCCCAGAGCCTGGTGGGACTGCTGAGTGAGGTACAGACCACCCCTGCCCAGCCAGCAGACCCTGTACCATGACTGCCCACCCAGGGCTTGGGGCCTCAGCATGCTTATTTTGAAAATGAGGCTGAGTATCCCTCTCTAGGGGTGCGAGGTGATTACATGACATGGTGGAAGGCAAGAGGGTGAGGCCCTGGGTCTGGTGCAAGTGAGACTTTCCAGGGCAGACCAGGAGTCTGGGAGGTGGGTCACTTGGGGGGTAAAAGCTTGGGCCCAAGAGCAAGCCTGTGCCTGGCTGGGGAGTATTTGAGCAGGTAGAGGCCTGGCCCTACCCCTTCCTAGCTGTGTGATGACTTACCTCAAGGCTTGCTTCTCTGGGCTTCTGCTTTCAAGCGCCTGGCTGCCTCAGTCAGTGGAGCATGCACTCTTAATCTTGGGGTTGTGCGTTTGAGCTCCATGTTGGGCATAGAGGTTACTTAAAAATAAAATCTTCAAAACAAAACAAAACAAGAAAAAAAGACCTCTAAAAAATGGTCATAAGAAGAACATTCTCAGAAGGCTTTGATAGGAATCCAGTGCTAAGAAGTGGGCCTGGGCCCTCAGAAGTGCTTCAAGCAACTTCAACTCTTGTTCTCTTATCTTCCAAACAAAATTACTTTTTATTCTATTGTATAAACTTTCTTTTCTATTGTAGCATAATACGCATACAGTTGTGTGTACAAACCCTATGCTGTTTGAGGAGAAGAGCTTGACAAATTGTTACCTATGTATGCACTTAGGTATCCACCACCCAAGCCAAAATAGAGTATTTTCTACCTCCTGAAAGACACCCCCTCTTGTGCCCCTCCTAATCAGTACCCCCTCCCTGCAGAGGCAACCAGCCTTCTGACCTCCCACCAAAGATTAGTTTGCGTGTTCTTGAACTCCATAGAGACAGAATCTTAGAGGGTTGGAGCTATATTGATTCCTTATCTGTAAAGGGGCTGGTGATCATGTGGGAGGAGCATAGAATGAACTCAAGATGAGCACATAACTTGGCCCAGGCCCTGGCTCAAAATGAGTGTCCGGCAGTGGGGGCTGCCATCATGACCGACATCTTCACTGTTCTCACTGGTGTTGGCGGAACACCTGGTGGCTTGCAAAGGGCCCTGGTTGCCGTAGCTGCTTGAAACGGCTGTGCTGTCTTCATCCCACAGTTGGAGAGTCCCCAGGAGGATGGCTGTGGGCATCCCTCCTTCCTGCCCCTACAGAGGGAGTCCCCTGAGGACAGGGAGCTCATCGTCTACTCCCTGGAGGCAGAAGTGACGGTCACAGAGACAGACAGGTGGGTCTCCTTTGCACCAAAGGAAGCTTTAGAAGAAGCCTGGGTTACAGGCATGCCCTGGAAGAACTGCTCCCCGCTCTCCCAGTGGGCCTGTGGGGCAGGGCTGCAAGGTCTGAGGGGCACAGGAGCCTGGCCCTGCAGCCTCAGCCACAGCCTTAGCTTCCCTGGTTCCAGGCAGAAGGTGCAGGGAGCCTTTGCAGAGGAGAGACGAGCAGTGCTCCCAGTGGGAACAGGGTGCAGATGTGTAGGGGTTCGGGTGGGGGGCCACTGTATACTAACATGAGTGTGTTCGCTCATTTGCCCCACCTCCACTGGCGCTGCAGCAAGTATTGCATGAAGACGACCGAGGCGGGGCCCGGAGAGCAGCAAGGAGACGCCTCCCTCAGGGTCTCCTCCATCAGCTCCAAGGATCAGAGCCCACCTGAGGGTGAGTGGGGGCCAGTAGAGACCCTGCAGTAGTTTGTCCGTCCAGCCAGGCCCCTTTCTGAGTATCTGTGGTGACCTTGACTCAGTCTTCCTGAAGCTCAGTCTATCACAGAGACAGACATTGTCCCTGCTGGTACCTGAGGATTCTGGAGCCCAACTGCCCACTGGCAGGAGCCCAGCTCTACCCTTTCCTTGAAGTGTAAACTTGCTGGTCCTTACAAATGGAGGGCGGGTATTATCACCCCCATCATCCAGATGGGAAAACTGAAGCCCTGGGAGCCTGAGCCACTTACCTGACTCACCCATTAGGGGCCTAGCTTTGGGCTCCTGACTCCTGCTCTGCTCCTCCAGACTCGGGGGAGTCAGAGGCCGACTTGGAGTGCAGCTTCGCCACCATCCATTCCTCCCCTCCACGGCCAGAGCCAGACCTGATGCTGCCCCCCACACCGGGTAAGCAAGGGCCAGAGGTGGGGCGGGCAGCGCGTGGGGATGGTCATGATATATAACCACTCTCCCCACGTCGGCCCTGCACTCGGTGCCCACTAAGTGTCAGTGTCCTCAACCAGGAGACAGAGCCATTAGCCTCTCGGCCTAGTGGCAGCAGGGTGTGTGACGGGCGAGTCCAGCTTTCTCCATTGTTAAGTGTCTGGCATGTTTGGGCGTCTGCCGTGACTCATGGTGTTGACAGTTCTCTTCTGCCCGCCTTCTCGCCTCCCCTTCGCCTCTCCCCAGGATGCCCAGGGACCGCAGAAGAGCTGTCCCAGCCCGAGGTGCCAGGCATATCCAACAGCTCCCTGCCCCAGACCCCTGAGCAGGAGAAGTTCCTCCGCCAGCACTTCGAGACTCTCACTGATGCTCACTCTGAGGGTAGGGCGGTGCCTGGGCGGCCGTCCAGCACTGGGCACAGCACGGGTGTCACAGGGTGGAGCCTCCACGGCTGGCAAGGGGGCAGAAGGGCTTACATTTTATCTTCAGGACAGAGCCGCACAGGCTCTTCTCCGAGCTGCGTTTGCTCCCAAGGCGTGTGTGTGTGTGGTCGACTGAAGGCGTTTCTAAGGGTCCACCTGCTGGTCTGCGGGTCTTTCTGGGTCCAGGGCTGGGTGGCTGGAGGGATTCTGAGGGCTCCCCTGGCATCTTCCCCTAGAGCTCTTCCATGGATCCCTGAGAGACTTGGAGGCCTCTGAGACTGAGGACTTCTTCAATCCCCGGTTGAGCATCTCAGCCCAGTTCCTCTCACGCCTCCAGAAGACATCCAGGTAGGAGCTGGTGAACCCCCACCCCACCTTCCAACTCTGTCCCCTAGGGCGGGGCCACGTCCCCTCAACAACCCCCAGGACAGCCACAACCACCTGGTCTCCTTCCCACAGGTTCACCCACACCTTCCCTGCCCGGCTGCCCCGGCACCTTGTGAAGTCCCCAGAGGTCAAACTCACGGACCCTGGGGGCAGTCAGCCCAGAGCAGAGCCCCCGAGAGCAGGCGCTGGCCACACCTCCCCAGGCAGAACCAACGTGAGTACTGGGGCCGCTCCCCCAGGACTTGGGGCTGGGAGTCCAGAGGCCTCGTCCTAACCTCATGGCTGTGCTTGCAGGTCCCCCCTGGGAAAAAGCCTGAGGAGCCCGTTGAGATCCTAGAGGCCTGGTGCCCACTGAGTGAGTGCTCCCATCCACAGATAAACAACCCCAGATGCCCATCTGAGCCACGGGGCAGTGGGGATGGACAGGGTCTACTCAGACCCTGAAGCCACCTGGGGTGGGCCCCTATCTGTCAGCCCTACAGTGGGACGTGAGAGTGAAGCAGCTGCTTCCTTTACAGCCCCCTGCCTCACAGGTCTGGCACCCTGTGCCCCCTCCTCCTCAGTGCTGCCCACCGACAGGAAGCCTTCGACACCCACAGCCCTGCCCACTCCAGGCCTGGCTCAGGGTGTCCACAGCCCCTCCATCCACTCATACATGGAGGCCACTGCCAGCTCCCGTGCCAAGATGTCACGCAGCATCTCCCTCGAGGACAGTGAGGGCCCTGTGCTGGCTGAGCTGGCCAGGCCCCTCCGCAGGCCCTCATCAGTCGGGGAGCTGGCATCCCTGGGCCAGGAGCTCCAGGCCAACCCCACCACGGCAGCACTCAGTTCTAACAGTGAGGGCCAAGAACCTGTCCTGCCCTCCTGGGGCAACCATGAGGCCCGGGCGAGTCTGAAGCTGACCCTGTCGAGCATCTGTGACAGGCTCTTGCTACCCCCTTCCCCAGTGGAACCTGTGGCCACCCAGCCCAGTGTCACCATCGCAACAGCCACCTTCTCGGCCTCCAGCCCCGTGGATGCAAGCACCCTGGGGCTCCACAAATCCACCTTTCTCCCAAGGCTCCTGGCCCCTGAGCCCCTCAATACCCCTGCCCACCCCAACAGCACCCCACTTCCAGAGGCCAGGCCTGGGGTCCCTGGCAGCATCACCTCCGTCCTGGAGACAACCCCTGGTGAGTTGACCACTCTTGGGACATGGGATTGTCCCCCAAGCTCAGCCCATGTACCAGGTGGCTTGGCTCCAAAGGTGGGTGCTTGACCCAGCCACAGGGGCTGTGCCATTCATTCATTCATTTACTTAAATATTTAGTGAGCACTTCGTATATGTTGGGCTTTGTTCTAGACCCTAGACGCGTGGGGCCTGGCGGTCAACAAGACTGCAAAGAATTGACACCTTAACTGGGGCCAGACTAAATGTAAAGGAAAATGTTAAATGTTTCACAAAGTGTTGTGTGCTAAGGACAGAAATAAGAGAAACGGTTTAGGGATTGGGGGCTGGGGGGACAGGCAATGGTTACAGTTTTAAGCAGGATAATGAGAAAAGCTTCAGGGAGAAGGGGGCATTTGAGCAGAGTCCTGCAGGAGGGGAGGGAAGGGAGCCTGAGGGACTGAGGGAAGTGTTCCAGGCAGAGGGATAAGAATTGGGATCAGCCCAGCCACCCCAGCCTCTCTTAGACCAGCTAGAAAGAGGAGGTGCCTTTCTCACTCTGTCCCCTCTACCCTACCCCCAGATGCACTCAGTCTGGCCCAGGGCAACCTTGGACACTGGGAGGAGCCTAGGGTGCCAGCCAGGGTCCCGCCCTCAGCTCGCCTAGACCTGAGCACTGTGAGTACTATCGTGCACAGACTGCAGACTGCCTTCCAGGAAGCCCTGGACCTTTACAACGTGGTGAGCCAAGCCCCAGGGTCAGGGGAGAGGGCTGGGGGGTGAGGGGGCCGGACTGCCTGGACTGAGGAACCCCTGACAAGGTTGGTACCCCCTTGCAGATGGTCTCCCGTGACGAGGTGAGCAGTGAGCAGCAGCAGGCACGGACTGAACTGGCCTCCACCTTTGTTTGGATCCATAGCCAGTTAGAAGCCAGTGACTGGCTGGTTGGAACTGATGTGGCCCAAGTCCAGCCCAGCCCAAGGTCCTCCTCCCCACCTACATTGTGCCCCCTGGCCAGCCCAGATTTGCATGCCCTGCTGGAACACTACTCGGAGCTGCTGGTGCAGGCTGTGCGGAGGAAGGCACGGGGGGATTGAGGGCCAGGAGCCTGCTCTCCACTACAGCCCTGCTGCTTCTGAAGAAATAGACATTTTAAGCAAATAAACTGACAGTTTAGAGGAATGGTTCCTGGTGCCTGTCTGCATCCACAAAGCCCCCTTGAGGTGGATGCGGGGAAGGAGGGTAGGGAGGAGACCAGCCCAGGGAACATGAGCGGATAAACTTTGGAAGGGATGAAATTTGTATGCAGCAGGTGTTGGCCTAGCATTGTAGCCTCACCTGCCCTTCCTCTTCCTGTCTCACCTGGGGGACATCAGCCCCAGTGCCCTCCCTGCCTTGTTTCAGGACTCCATCGATGGGACCAACATTCCCAAGAAATTTGGGAACCGCAATAATGATCCCAGCACCTGGATCCATATTGCCTACGTAGCCCTCTGAGCTGCTGTGGGGTCTGTTGTCCTTGCCCAGTGAGGCCCAGCTATTCCCCAAGGAGCCGCCAGCCCTTCCTCTCTGCCCCCTACTGGTACCCAAGAACCCACTGGAGCCACTGCCATCGCCGTGTGCCAGACCATGGTTCCCGGTACACACACTGCCACGCCACTGGTTCATGGTCCCTAGGCCAAGCCCAGCTGGATCCTGTGAGGTCCAGGCTTTTGTCCCTAACTACAGCAGGGGAAATGGACCAGCAGGCTCACTCACTGGACACTGGGGCAGCATGGCCAGTCCATCTAGCAGCTGGAACAAGTAGCTTCCCCAGCAGGAGGACTACAACTAGACTCGTCCCATGAGCTCCCAGCTCTGGTACCAGCTTCCCTAGGCAGCAGGCATCTGGCCGTGTGGCGCGTCTGCCAAGAAGGCCACTCTTGTGACCACAAAAGTCCCTGCTGTCCCAACTCTCTCTAAAAAGGAAGCCAGCAAGGGCAGGGTCCTCGCCCAAAGCACAGCCCCGCCATGTGGCTTGCTGTGGCCTGAACCACCACTTGCCTGAGTTCCTCTCTGCTCTGTTTGGTGGTCATGGCCCACTAGAAACAAGCTTAGACCCACTCTTGTCCAGGGTACCACAGAGCTCAGACTCAAACCTAGGCTTGCCTGGTGGCAGAGCCAGACACTTCAGCATAAAGACATGGCCCTGTGCTGTCTCCATAAACAATTACACGCATCAGAATCAACTGTGCAGTTCAAAAAAATCCTGCCGGGTACCTGTGTCGGTTCTGTGTGTGAGGGGTAGGGTGAGGAGCAAGACAAGATAAGCAAAGCATCTGCCCTCACGGCATTAGCCTTCTAGAGAGCAAAACCGGAATTAAGATGTCACTGTGCTGGCTTGGCTGATGGGTCAGGGAAGGCCTTTCTGAGGTGACATTTGAGCTGAGGCTTGAGAGAAGGCACGGGTCATGTGGGCATCTTGGGAAAGTATCCAGGCAGACAACAGTGGATGCAAATGCCCCATGGGGGGGATGAAATACATGTGTAAGGAATGCAGTGAGCCAGGAGAGGAGATGGGAGGAAGAACAGGGCTCCAGGGGGCAGGGCCTTGTTTCACAACATTTAAATCCAAGAAATACAACACAATTTTCCCCCCAAATAGGATGCCTGGGCTTGGTATTTGAGATGTCAGGTGTTATTTCTCAAAGCTCCCTCTTCCTGCCCCAGGGAGCCCAGGAGGTCCAGGACTCAGGTGGGCTGGACCTCTGACGGGAGGTTCCCTGACCTGCCCAGCCCCACAGGACCTGCCCAGACCACTGGGGCCCACTGTCCTTGCCTCTGCCTAGCTTGGCCACAGTCACCTAAGATCCCTGATGCGAAGCTTGGCATCCAGGCCCCCGGACACCCAGAGGACCGTCTTGAGTCGTGCCCCTCATGGAATGTACCCCTCCCACCCTGTATCATGATTAAGCCTTCAACTCCCTAGTAGCAAATCACTGGCTTATAGGGTTCCAAGCTGTAGGGACATTTGCTACTCTTGACTATGTTCCTGCTCCATTAACCCCTGAGTCTTGAGTTCTGCCCTCCAGCTTAGTGGGCTCTCTCATAGCTGTAACATGGCTGCTGTGCCAGCCCTCAGCAGTACACCTACCCAGCCAGGAACAAAGGCATGAAGGAAGGCAGCCACCAGCATAGTGAGAACAGTGCTAAGCCTCCCTAGACACCTCCCCTTTCAGAGCGATTGCAGGCAAGAGGAATGGAGATTGCTTTCATTTTCTTGGACCAGCCATCTCTCCTGTCCTGGGCATGTGGCTGCTCAAACAAAATTGGGTTCTCTCAGCACAATAGGAGGCTGGGCTGGTAGGGAGGACCCAGGGTGCCTGCCACTCTCCACTTCCCAATGCCAAGCTCTTCAGCCCTAGAAGGACCAGACTTTCTCTCCTCAACAAAACAGCTGGTTAAGAAACCACTGCTGATGAATGTGTGTGAGTGTGGTTTGTGGACTGACAGGGTCCCAGGAGGAAGAGGACAGCATGTTCACATGGGATATTTCAGAGAGTTTAGTAAAGGGATCATTTGCAAAGAAGTGGGCAGGGAACAGGGAAATCATAGGGCTGGTACAGTACCCTGAGCTGGCACCAGAGGTGAGCTGTTCCTCCCACCCTAGCCTTGAGGTGCAAGGGAGCCAAGTGGAAACCAGAAGAGCCGATACTGGAGAGAGGGCTGTCCTAGGGAAGCTGTGTCCCTGGCAACTCCATAGGGGGAGAGTTGGAGGAATCCTTTCCCCCATCATCTGTGGGGCTCCCCACTGTCAAAATCCTGGGAGCCAGGGGGCACAGGAACCCAGATGATGCGGTCCACCCAGGTCAGTCTCCCAGGACACAGAGCAGGGAGGAAGGGGACAGAAAGGGCCTTAGGGAAAATAAAGACACCCAGCCCCGGATTTCTTCCCTAATGTGTTTTCAATGACACAGGAACCAGTTGCCCTGAAACATGCTGTTGGGCACGGAGAACTGGGCACCTGAAAGAGACAAAATGGCTCCACCTAACCATTTGCCAGCTCATTCTTCAGTGCAACTTGCACCCTGTACTCCATGCTGGACAGATCCCAGATACTGGGCTGACAGACCTGTGCCGGACACACCAGTCATGGCTGCACGAAATCCAACAATTGTGAGATGGAGACACTGAAAATTCCATTTTACAGATGGGCTGACTGAAACTCCGATGCTTGCCTAACCACCTCTCAAGACTTCCTAACAACCACCCTGTTCATATGCTGCATGCTAAGCATTCTCCCCACATGATCTACATAGGCCTCTGACACAAACCAGCCAAGGGAGACACATTAGTTCTATCTTCCAGATGAAGAAACCGAGGCTCAGCAACTTGTCTGGGTCCTGCTGAGGTAAAGTGGAAAAACTCTGCCTCCCTTGCTGCCCCAAATGAATGAGCAGGACTGACTCTCAGGGAATGTGAAGAAATGAAATAATGCTCCTCTCACCACCAAGCCTTTATATAGACTGTTCTCTCTGCCTGGAACACCCTCCCTTTTACCTGAAACCTTATCTTCCTTCAGGGCTCACACCCAGACAGTCATCTCTGAACCTTTAAGCTGGACCGGGAGCCTCTTCTGGGCTCCCATGAGCTCCCTGAGTTTTCTCTATTACTGTTTGGATCACTTTGCCTGTGCATTCCCCATCATAGCCTTGGTCATTCTGGGTTGTCACTGGTGGGTCTGTCTCCTCCATGGACTAAGTTATGTGCTCATTTTTAACGTTGAGCTAGATCTGGCCTATAGCTAGAGTTCAGGAAATTGCTGAGTGGATAAATGAGAGAAAGTAACTGCACAGAGAATATTCAAAATCCTTAACCAGTGGTTAAGGGGTGAGACAATGATCAGTCTAGAACACAGGACAGAGTGTTAGGGTGGGGTTCTGGGAGCTCCTGGCTGTGTCACGTGACCCCCTTTGGTTCCTGGACTGTGGGAGAGGGGGGGAGTGGTGTCCCAGGCAATCACTAGGAGCTGGACTATTAACACACCAATATTTTAAAATCTGCTACATCTGGGGGCACCTGGGTGGCTCAGTCGGTTAAGTGTCCGACTTCAGCTCAGGTCATGATCTCACAGGCTGTGAGTTCGAGCCCCACATCGGGCTCTGTGCTGACTGCTCAGAGCCTGGAGCCTGTTTCGGATTCTGTGTCTCCCTCTCTCTCTGCCCCTCCCCTATTCATGCTCTGTCTCTCTCTGTCTCAAAAATAAATAAACGTTAAAAAAAAAATCTGCTACATCTGAACAGTGTTTCTGGCTGAACATCAGTTCTTGGCATCTAATAATCAGAGGTGGAGCTTCCTGCTGGAAGATACACAGCCCGTGTCCTCACTTTGTCCTTACCTACTGGACCCTGCTGTTCCTCCACCCTCTGGGGCAAGCAATCACAGCCACCACCCCCCTCTCCTGCTTCTCAGACAGCTGCTGTGATTTGAATAACCAAGCAGGTTGTTGGATGTCCGGTGGTGACTGATTTGCCTGGCAAACAGACCCCTCAGGTCCTTGGCCCAGCTGCTACTCTGAGAAGACAGCCTTCCTGGAGTCTCTTTTTCTTTTCCCCACATGCAGCAGCTAGCTAGGCTCTAATCTTGCCCTTGCTTGACCTTCTGGGGGGTCCCAGCACTTGGCTGCCCCTGGTGGCTGGAGAGTGCCCTCAGGAACCTGGTGTAGGAGAAGGGGGAGGAATGGTAGGTCCCATCTGAGGCAGAGGTAACTAGAGCCAGCTAAGTCCCTGGGCTTGTCACAAAATTTGCATGAAGAGAATGCAGGTCCTCTGTGGCTCCCCCTTCCCTTCCCTCTTCCCTCCTAGTCATCCTGGGGCTGGGGTGTGACCGCAGGTGGAGGAGGCAGTCGTGCGTGGAGTGCCATCTCACCATTCCGGGAGGTGATGCCCCGTGTCTTCCTGGTCAGGAGTCGGCGTCCACAGCCATCCAACTGGGGCCACTTGCCTGACCAGCTCCGGGGAGATGCCTATGTCCCAGGTGGGCCCCTCACTGGGCCTGGAGGCGAGGGGCAGGTAAGACACAAAGCATCACTGTGTCTGGCTTCTCTCCTCAGACTGCAGCAACCAGCGGGGCCCATCAGCACACCAGTCTTCTGGCCTTGGGGACTCTTGGGCAGCGGTGAGTCTGCAGCTGGACCACAAGACCCTGCTTCGTTTCATCCCTGCCCACTCTCAGCCTGACTGCCTCTCATTCCCTTGAGCCCATTTGCTCATGCCCCCTCCACCCCCCCAGCCTCAAGACCTTTCCACCTTTTGTTCTCACTGCTGGAAATGCCTTTGCTTTCTTGGTAGAGATGTTAGGCTTCATCCCAGGCACCCTTTCCCTAAGCTGGGCAGCCACATTTCCTATCCTGAGATCTCTCTGTCCAGTGGGAGCAGAACAAGATTCAAGCCAAGTGGATGGTGATTTCCTTTATGTCAGGATCAGACAAGGTGACAGGAGCAAGGATGGGGGAAGACTAGGGACTCTCAGAAGGGATATTCAGCTGTGCATGCCCTGGAAGTAGGAAAACACTAGCCAGAAGATAAAGGTGACAGATTATTTCAGTATTTATTGAAAGCCAGGAACTGTTTTAGGCAATTGCTATTTAGCAAGAATAAGACAAAAATTCCTTCCTGGAGCTTATAATCTGTTGGGGGCTTGACAAGAAAAAAACTAGAAAACTAGAAAAATGTCATGTTGGGAGATGTATAAACGGAGAAATAAAGCAAGGTAAAGGCAATGGGGGTCAGGGAAGGCCTCGGAGACAGGGTGGCATTTGCACACGAATAGCAGGCAGTCTCTGGCCTTCCCAGACCTCCTTGGTTCCTGGTTCTAGTTTTTCCATTTGCTCCAGCCAGGGGGTCTAACTCCCATGTCCCTCCCACAGCCTATGCAGGGCAGTCTGGCCTCCACTCCCAGGGGCCCTGGGACACTTGGCTGCCCACTCTGCCCCAAGGCCTTCCCTTTGCAGCGCATGCTGACACGGCACCTCAAGTGCCACAGCCCTGCACGCCGCCACGTGTGCCGCTGCTGTGGCAAGGGCTTTCACGATGCCTTCGACCTCAAGCGCCACATGAGGACTCACACTGGTGAGGAGTGGCAGGGACAGAGAAGGGCAGCTGGGTCCCGGGAGGGTCTGGGATGAAATGGAGAAAGGTGCCCAGGATATGGAGTTTCCGGTGTTTGTGTATATGGGGTGGAGACTCAGCCATCAGACTGATCCCAGTCGGGTGGGTGTATGGTGACGCGAGGGTAGAGGCGTGAACAACGAGGACAGTAGTGGATACATGGATCTAGATTGAAGGTGCAAGGTAAAGCCTCCTCCTTCGCCCCTGGGGAAGGAATATCCTGATGAGGCGGGTGGGAACACAGGTATCTGGTCCTGTTTGTAGCAGGTGGAGGTAGAAGATGGTGGGACAGACCGAGGAGTCCGGACAACTTGGAATAGGAATGGGGGAATGCTCATGGAGGTTAAGGTGGGGAGACTTTAGCTTGGAGGCCATTGTCCTGTCTGTCCTCTCCCCCTCTGCCCACCTGTGCAGGGATCCGGCCATTCCGCTGTGGAGCTTGTGGGAAAGCATTTACTCAGCGCTGCTCACTTGAAGCTCATCTTGCTAAGGTGCACGGGCAGCCAGCCAGCTACGCTTATCGTGAGCGCCGGGAGAAGCTGCATGTGTGTGAGGACTGTGGCTTCACATGCTCGCGGCCTGACACCTATGTGCAGCACCGTGCCCTGCACTGTGTTGAGACTGTGCACCCACACAACACATGAGAGGCAAATAAATGCAGGAAATGCACGCACAGAACACAGTATTTATTACACGTGGGAAAGGATGATTCACTCCGTCCAGCGGTGGCCACAGTGTGGGGCCGTGCACACATAGTACAAGCGCATGGCGTCCTGGCAGAAAGGTTGTCCAGTTAGGAAGGGTACAACATGGAACCTCCGTCCAGCAGAGCCTCACCCCAAGACAACAGGCAAAGGGGCTTTCCCCATTGGTAATGGTCCAGCTCAGTACGCCAGGAAGGGCAGGGTTCCCCCAAATGTTGGTATCCCCACCCCCGGTAAGAACCAAGCCTGGGATACCCAGAAAGCCTTCCTCCTGTCACTCACCTCGGCACGGGCACTATGTGACTGGAAGAACACCGCCTCCTTGTGGCCACACCTGAGAGGGCAGTCAGCCACTCAGCCTACCATCCCCTTCCCTCCTCCCTTCACCCGGTGAGGACGAGCCACTCTCCATCCCCAATATGAACGGCGCGCTCACTTTTGGCACGGGTGGTCCTCGGTCCGCGGCAACGTGGGGTCCTGGGACACGTCAGCGATGATCTGGGTCAGTTCGCTGAGGGAACAGAGGGCGAATAATCATGCCCAGACCAGGTCTCTCAAGCCAACAACCCCTTCCCCAGGCTCTGAGTCCTGCCACTCACTCTACTTCGTGCGTGATTTTGTTGACGTAGATGCAGCTGTTGTCGGCTTCCTGCTGGTAATCACAATTCCGGCACTACGAAAGGGCAAGGGTTGCGGGAAAGGGGTTGCGGGAAAGGGCTTACGGGGAGGTCTCGGAAGGGATTGGAAGGGAAGGCTGGGTTTTCCCCAGAGGTCAGGAATGACTACAGCATGGAGTTTCGAAGCTGGTATAATGGGGTATACCGAGAATCACCTCGGGGATGGACAAGACAGTGGGGGTTCACTCGTAGGACAGTCAGGAGGCAAGACCAAAACACGTAAGGGGCGTAAAAAGAAGTAAGGGTCATGTGGAGTAAGATGGGGTCACACTGGGAACAGGTGGATCCCTCTGGAAAGACCCCGGCGCTCCGTGGGCTCGTGCTCACCGCGTAGAGCAGAATGCGGTTCTCCTTGTCCTCCTTGGGGTAAAGCATGTTGTTACTGTGGGGAGGGAGGAGACAGAGGTCAGTCCTGGGGCCACTACTTGCCCCCCTTACACACTCGCAGCCCCGGCCTCACCATTCCTGGCAGAATCGAATACCCACGAAACCCGGCTCATAGGTCCCGTCCGGTTCCATAGCTACGCACCGCCCGCCAAGCCTTCCGCGCTTGCTCCACCGCGCGACCGGTCGCGGGAAGGATCAAGCCTAGTTGCTTCGCCAAGAGAGGGGCGGAGCTGCGCACATGCTCTGGCTTCCAGCTGCTTTGTGCTTGTCTCTGTGCTCCGAGGTTCGATTAATAACTTGCTTCAGTTTTTTTATATTCTGCAGTAACTGCTTCCAATTTCTGGGCCTTACTTCCCCAGTTTGTAGAACAGTATGGTACGAGAGCCAGGAATACGATGCTTCACGTCATTTGCAAAGCGCCGACCATAAATGAAGCCACGGCTCTTTGCAGGCTGAAGACCAGTGCACATGCGCGGATGGAGTACCTCCTGCCAGTCCTTCCCCTGGGCTTCACCCTTCTCCCGCCTGGGCCGTTTCCCGGGCTGCTATTGGAAGAACTGCGCACATGGAAGACCTCTCAGGATTGGCTGGGGCTACCCAAGAACAAGGGAGATCCCTCTTCCTGGCGTGGAAAAGAGACAGCGGCGATTGGCGGATCCTGCTTGGGGAAGAGCATGGATTGGCTAGGTCGTGAGCAGGGGGAGGGGCTGACATCCCAGAAGCGGCGGCGGCGGCTGCGGAGCCGGTGTGAGGCGACTAACCCGGCTGCGGACCCCGGCAGGAAGCGGCGAGATGGAGGTGACGGGCTTGTCGGCGCCCACAGTGACCGTTTTCATCAGCAGCTCTCTCAACAGCTTCCGCTCTGAGAAGCGGTACAGTCGCAGCCTCACCATAGCTGAGTTCAAGGTGTGGCCGTGGGGGCGGGGCCCGGGGGCGGGGCAAGGAAGAAATGGAGGGGCTTTCCGAACGCGAGGAGGGACCAGATATAAACAGAGGTTGGACAGATTGGGGACGGGACCCGGCTGGGTGGGCCCAGAGGGAGTCTGAGTATTCAGAAATTGGGGACGATGCCAGGAAAATCAGAGGTTGCATAGGGCATGACCAAAGATAACCAGGTGTGTCCTAAATTGTGTCTTAGAGGAGCAAGGATGGGGTAATGGTTATTGTTACAAGGGGTGGAGCCTCGGGGCTCCCGACTGGTTCAGTTGGTAGAGCCCGCGACTCTTGGTCTCGGGTTCGTGAGTTCGAGCCCCGTGTTAGGCTTAGCGTTTACTTAAAAAAAAAAAAAAAATTAATTTGCAAGTACGTACCTTAAAAAGGGAGAGGGGGTGGAGCCCCAGGGCAGAGGGTGGGGTCGCTGACAGCCTTTCACCGACTGCTCCCTGCGCAGTGTAAACTAGAGCTGGTGGTGGGCAGTCCTGCTTCTTGCATGGAACTGGAGCTGTATGGAGCTGACGACAAGTTCTACAGCAAGCTGGATCAGGAGGATGCACTGCTGGGCTCATACCCCGTAGACGACGGCTGCCGCATCCACGTGAGGCCTCCCCACCATTTATTTATTTGTTGAACAAATACTTGCTGTACGTTGCCCTGTGTGATAACCAAGATAGGCCCTACTTTCATGGAGCCCCCAGTCCTGCATGGAGAGAGACAGAGCCATCACGGGACAGTGACAGCCAGAGTGGTGTGGGCAAAGCCCAGGGGACTGGGGATGCCCAGCGAGGTGCCTGACTCCTGGAAGTATGAGAAGGGGCTTCTTGAAGGAAGGGACGCCTGAGCTGAGACCTGAAGGATGAGGAAAGGTGACTTAGGGTAAGGGGTGGGAGGGGTATGCCAGGTGGGGGGAACAGTGTACAGAGGTATAGAGTGTGGGGTGGGTCAGGGTGAGTGATGAGACTGGACATGTTGGGAGAAGTTGAGGACCTCTGCATTCATCAACTCACATCATCCTTTCTCCTCCCCTTATTCCTCAGACATCCCAGCATCCCAGGTGGGTTCCACCTCTGGGCCTTTGCAAGTGGTTCTTTTTTATATGGCTTCACATGGCTCACTCCTCCCTTCCAGTCTTTACTTAAATGTCACCCTCCAAGTGTGAGGCCTTCATTGACCTCAGTATAAAATTTAAATCTCTTCTCTTTTCCATTTTATTTGATTTTTGTCTTTAGCTCCTAGCACCCTGTGACATACTGTGCATTTCCTCCAGCACCTGGAATAATGCCTAGTACTGAGAAGATGCCCAGTGAATCATTGTTGAATACTGAGCTGAGTCCATAAAATAAGACTTGGAAGATGGTGTAATTAACCCCATTTTGCAGAAGACAAAACAGCTTCAGGATGGAATTTACTTTCCTAAGGATGAACTGTAGTTAGAATTATCACCTCAGTCTGCATGACTCTGCAAGTCAGTGTGCTCAGAGAACTGGTCCATAACTCTGTGTTATGCCAGGGGTATAGCTGTGAGCCAAGTCTGAAGAGGCCTCTGTTTTAGTTCTGTACAGTGTGTGAGGTAGATGTTAGCTAAATATTCATAGGAACAAATATGAAATGTCAGAGACATGAAGGCCATATAGGAAGAGATCACAGAGCTGGGAGAGCCGGTACTGGGAGGACTTCCTGGAGAGGGTGATGCCTGAGCAGAGTCCTGAAGAATAGGAAGAATTAACTGAAAAAGGGAAAAGAGCACTCCAGCAAAAGAGCACACCATGTGCAAACACTGAGGTGGAAGGGAGCACAGTTAGGGAGAGGCACTGAGGAGTGGCCTCTCCTTTGGCAGGAGGAAGTGAGAGCCAGGGGAGGGCTTTGAGCCAGGAGGGTCCTGGTGTGACCCAGGTGCTCACAGGCTCCCTTTGTGTGTGGGAAGACAGGCAGAGTAGGGAGACCAGGGAGGAGGCTGGTTCCATAGTCCAGGTGGTGTGGTAGGTACCGGATCATAGTGGGAACTGGTCAGGGTACTGCTGGGCCCACAGGACTGAGACTTTGGGCTGACACAGGCAGCCTCAGCCTCCAGATGCTAGTGGGTCAGGCATAGGATGGCATAGGGCCATCCTCAAACAGGAGGTTTTCACACATGCGTTCAGGTGTAGACAGGCCTCTAACTTCTGAGGTCATTTAAGAAAGGTTTCCCAGGGGCTCCTGGGTGGCTCAGCTGATTGAGCGTCCGACTTCGGCTCAGGTCATGATCTCGCAGTTTGTGAGTTCAGGCCCCGCGTTGGGCTCTGTGCTGACAGCTCAGAGCCTGCAGCCTGCTTAGAATTCTGTGTCTCCCTCTCTTTCTGTGCCCCTCCCCTGCTCATACTCTGCCTCTCTCTGTCTCTCAAAAATAAGTAAATGTTTAAAAAAAATTTTTTTTAAAAAGAAAGGTTTCCCAGAAGTGGAGCCTCTAGAGAATTTGTTTTACACTATTTTCCTCTTTATGAATATTACCTGTATTTGAAATGCCTGGCTGGCTCGGTCGGTAGAGCATATGATTCTTGATTTCAGGGTTGTAAGTTCAAGCCCCACATTGGGCATAAAGTTTACTTAGAAAAAAATTATATGTTTAACATATATGTGTTGTTTAAAATAATAGTAACCTCAAACTTACAAAGTCCTTAATACACAAAGTAGAAATTCATAGTGATCCTGACCAGAGATAAGGGCCATTTCTATTTTGCTATGTTAGGCCAATGGCTCAGGCCAAACTACCTTAGAGTCTTTGCTGACCCCTCTCTTTACCTCACACCCACATCCCATCCAACAGCAAATCCTGTGGACTCCACCTACAAAATCTGTCTAGAGTCTACACTTGTCTCCCCCACAACCCCTGCCCTGGCCCAGCCTCCATCCTCCCTCTCCTGGACACCACAGCAGCCTGTCCCTGGCCCCCCTCAGTCTGCTGCCCACCTGCAGCCAGAGGGAGCCTGTGATG